GCGGACAAGTGCTTTGTTGTGGCTTTCACAAGAAAATTAAACATCTTAAATCTCAACTACTATCTTGGACACGTTAGCCTTGAGCGTCAAGAGCAAATCGATGACTTAGGAAACATATTTGATAAAAAAATGTCTTTTTCAACTCATATCGACACGACCGTTTCGTCAGCTAATAGGATGTTGGGATTCATCATGAGGAACGCTAGAGAATTTTATATTTCAGTACTAGATATTCTATACAGGGTGTCCGCAAAATTGGGGTTTTCCTTTTCAGAAGTAACAAAGGTAATGTGTAGTGAAACGAGGGCGACCAAGTAGAAAAAATAAAGGAAAAAGTACTCACTCTCCAGTTGACGAGAAGGGCTAAGTACATCTCTGCCCGAAATCATACCGCTCCAACAGAAAATGAAATCAACTGATGCGCTACCGGGCAGACGCAGAAACCACATTGATTGTCTTACACTTAATGGCACATCTTCTAACAAGGAAGGCAAAATGTTGCGTAAAAAGTCTAGGTATTGCATCCCGTCCAATCGATTTGGGAGAATAAATGGTCCAATGAGCATACCGTTCACCATGCCAGCCCAAACATTCACCGAAAATGTTTGTTGAAAAAGTGCCCGACGGACAGCGTGCGGATTTTCTACTGACCAAACATGAGTGTTGCGAAAGTTATTCACCCCATTACGCGTGAACGTAGATTCGTCTGTCACCAATATGCACCTCAAAAAGTCCGGATTATTGTCATGTTGATGCAACAACCACTCACAAAACCGCAAACGGATACAGCCCCTCTTCACGCAGCGTTTGCCACACTTTAATTTTTGATACTTGCACTTCTCTAGCCACGTCTCTAGTGCTTGTTGAGGGATTTTCGTCTACGCGATTACCTCTAAACGCGTGACCGTAACCGTCGGTTGAAGGTTGCATACTGACCTAACACACTGACCCCGACCCAGTTCTGTCGTCGGGTTGAGCCAGTGACCTTGTGCCAGTCGGTGATGTTGCGGCTACAGGACGGTATTCAGATATTTTTGATGTTGCAGAGCCTTTATCTCGGTTCCCTTAAGACATTGGTGTATATGGTACTAAGAAAAATTGCTTATGTTTTCAAGATCTACACGTCGTGTAAAGGAAAACCCCAACATTGCGGACACCCTGTATATAAGTTGGAGTATGGTATCTTGATTTGGTACCCATATTGCGCAACACACGCAACTAAGATAGAACGTGTTCAGAGATTTTTTTTAAATATATGCATTTTAAGAAAACTGGTTTATTCTCGGAAACAGGATTTGAATACTCTTAGCTGCTTAATGAAGCAAACTTTATTTCTCGTAACACACGACGTATCTTTCTAACAACGAGTTTCTTGTACAAACTCATTCATAGGGACGTAATATCTGAATTTTTGTTAGGTAAAATTCCATTTACCGTGGCCAGACGCAACATCAGAAATTATTATTATTATTATTATGATAATTGAGATGAGCAGAGTACACAGTACTATAAGCTCATGCAGTAAATATAGTGTACCGACACGTAACACAAATACATCAAATAGAAAAAAATAAAAAAAGACAGTTCATAGCTATAAAGTTTGTACACTCCTCCAGCTATCATACTGCACTTTGAAGCTATTAACTGAAGTAGCACCAACCACACTTTCAGGTAAACTATTCCAGGTGTTGAATATGCGGTTGGGAAGAAACCACTGTCGGACTGTTGTTTTAAATGGCTCCTTATGCAGTTTAAGCTGTGTTCGCGTAGATTGCTGCGCGACAGACGGTATAGATGCATGAGGTTGGTGCCCATCAAACCATGAAGTATCCTGAACGTAACTATAAGATCGCCACGAAGTCTTCGCTCAGAGAATGAGGTCAGGTTGAATAATTCAAGGCGATCTTCATAGCTTGGTCTTCGTGCTCCAAAAGGGATACGAGTAGCCCGACGCTGTACTGATTCGACGAGATTTCTATCGCGCAGAAGCACAGTGTCCCATACCGGGCCAGCGAATTCAAGAATTGGCATCACGAATGCCTTGTAAATGTAGGCGCAAGTGTTGACATCGGATCCTTTGAAAGACCTTTCCAGCATGTATAGGAGTTTCTTGGCTTTTGATGTAACGTGGTGAATATGCTACGACCAGGAAAGACGATCGTTGACTACAACGCCCAGATCAGTGTGTCTGGAAACTGCTTCGATGTTGTGGTCAGAGATCTTGTATGTAAATCGCGGATTTGTCTTCCCGAGGTGAAGGACACAACACTTAGTTAGATTTAAGGGTAAAAGCCAACTGACTGACCATTGACAAACAATATCAAGATCTCGTTGAAGCATAGCAAAATTTAGGACAGTATTGTAAATCTTGGTGTCGTCGGCATAAGCTGAACATGTGGAGGAAATCAATGCGGGCAGGTCACTTGTATACAGAAGGAACAGCACTGGCCCCAAGACAGAGCCTTGAGGAACTCCACGTGCTACATGATGAAGGAGAGACGCTATCACTGACGTGCACAGAGAAAGTCCTCCCGGTGAGAAAAGCCTTAATCCACAGTAACAACTCGCCTCTTATTCCCATGCATTCCAACTTAAACAGAAGCCTTCTATGTGGTACGCGATCGAAAGCCCTAGAAAAATCTAAATAGATTATATCAACAGGAGTCTTTGTGTTCAGATACTGAGTCCAATCGTTGAGAGAGTGGAGAAGGTTGGTCATTATTGATCGACCAGGGAGAAATCCATGCTGATTCTTAGGGATAAGGTCATTTTCGAAAGCAAATGACAGGAGTTTATCTAATATGATTCTTTCAGCTATTTTGGCGGCGATAGGAACGAGACTTATTGGTCGATAATTTTTAGCGGAGGATTTGTCGCCCTTTTTGAATACAGGGGTAACAGAAGCACTAAGCCAGCATGAGGGTAGGGTATGAGATCTAAAAGACGATGTGAATATCAAGCTTAATGGTAGGGCCAGTGCTGAAGCGCAGTTTTTAAGTACAGCAGCCGTCATCCCATCTTTACCAGGGGAGGATTTCGCAGGTGCATTAATACATCTTCAGGCAGGAACTCAACTTCGCAAAGGCTGTTGGGACACCTATCGCAGATAGTGGTCGGTAGAAGGTCTCCATTAGGCTCATCGACGAAGTCATCACTAAAGGACTCTGCCAGTAAGTTGGCAGATTCGGTGGCATCCCTGTGGAGATGACCGTCAGCGTCGCGGATCTGAGGTGATGAAACTTTGGAATTCAGGTTTGTTCTTAGATACCGAAACAGCTTCTTCTTATTTTTGGAGGTAACGAGTTTTCGTTCATAAGCATGTTTGGCATTATGTAACGTTCTAGATAGGAGGTTAGAAAAGGATCGATGAGACACGTAATCTTGTGAATGGCCACTCCTCCTAAACCGTTGCCACAAAGATCTCTTGTGACGAAGCATCCTCGATATTTTAGAGTTGATCCAGGGCTTTGAGGGGTCACAGTATACCTTCTTTTCAACAGTATTGTCAGCCGTTTCGCTTAGGACTCGTTGAGCGAAAGTGTCCCACATATCTTGGGTGCTACTATTGTTAAGCAAAACAGGCCAGTTGACTTCAGACAGGGCTTGGTTAAGAGCATCGTGGTTTACAATTTTGATGGTTTTAAACTTATCGGTTGTAGAACGACTATTTATATTGAAGTGGAGAGAAGATAAAAGTGAAAAGTGGTCAGACTTGCCAAAAGGTGGCAAATAATCTAAATTAGAAACAAAGTCGGCGTCGTTAACGAATATCAAATCCAGAGCCCTAGGCGTCTGTCCTTCCCTGAATCTCGTTGGACGATCAACAAGTTGAGATATGCTAGAGTTGCGTAGCAAGTCGATGCAAGCAGCAGAAGAAGAATTGCATTCAGGAATGGTTGACATAGGCCAGCTAATGTCACGTAGATTGAAGTCACCAGCTATGAAAAGGTTGGTGTTTTTATTTAAGAGATCTGTAATGAGACTGCACAGGTGTGTGTCTCCCAAACAGGGCCGTGGCCGATATATGCAGCCTATCGTGAAGCTGAAATTTGGGCACCTCAATTCCAAAAATAGATTGTCAATGCCATCGAAAGGACTGACTAGAGTATTTTATTGTGAATGCCCTAGAACCAACATTTTAGCTAAGTCACCTATTTCGATAATTTGTAACAATTTTAATTTGATATGAAAAAGCTGTGACATCAATTTTTCCCCTATCTCGCTAGTTTATAGTTCTATTTTGCGGATCACATTTAATATGTAACTTTTCCGAGAAATACCTTTTTTATATTATTCAAGTGCTTATTGTTATAATATAACATTAGTTATATTTTTTCTTTTGCATAAAACGAAATGTTGATTTGATTTTGCGCATTTCCTGTTATTGGGTGCACATGTACCTGTTGGAAATAAACGTCTATCTATCTAGAGATGAAAGAAGGTATAAAGACAGGCTACCATGTTTGAATAATCACGCTCACCAGGTTCCACTGAATTAAAAGAATTCAATTAACACCGATCTTGTGCCAAACCACAGTATAAGGTTATCGTTAGACAAAATGATTTTAATGTTTTAGTTATTTGCTGGAACCTCCTTAGAGAGCTACGTTTTCCGCTTTCGTGAGTACCTACCTTTGCTTAATTGCTTTTTTCTGTGTGAAATGAATTGTATTGTCATAATGGGATATATCTCGTACGATTATCATATTATGATATTCAGAGAAGAGAAAAAATTAGAAACTATGGGAAAAATGTATAAAAAGAAACGTTACCTTCATAAGCTTTGATGTGCGTGTTTGAACGATGCTATACGAGGGTTAGCAGGTTTCATATCAGTAGAACGCAAAATTATCAATGAAAAGGTACTACTGAAAGAAGTGATGTCAGCCATACTAATTATAAGAAAAAAGTATACATATACTAAGTGACATATAAATCCGAACACCCAGTTTAAATGGTTTTATTTTAATAAACTCTTGGCACGTATGATTAAAAATCTTAGGACTAATAATACGGTTTATGACGAGTACGTTACGCAAAAAAAAAATACAGCTGAAAGCACCAAAGTCACTCATTCGTGAACGATATGAGAGAAAACTTACAAGTTATGATTGATGATGATCTGTGTTTCAATGCATCATTTTTGTAAGTAACTACTGAGGATTTGAAAACGAATAGAACAATTGGCGTTTTACAAAGAGGATGTCAAACCTGGTTCATAATTGATGTACTTTCATAAACGTTTTTGAGTAACAGACTGTTCAAGGTTCGCGTTAATTGCTTAGCTTGTAGATTCTTTCTACTGTGACCCATCACTTGTTATCTCGACTTTAGTGCATAAATCATTAACAGAATATGCCAATAATGATTCTTCGTTTTCATCGCCATCATCGTCTTCTTTTTTTCTTTGGTACTCAGCAACCATCGGAACCTCTAAGAGTTCCAAAGCCTCCTTTGGGATGTTTTTAAGTATTTGGTACGACCAGGTCCTAGAACCAAGAGAAATCATAAGTTACTAAAGTTGATAAAAGTAAAGTAAATGTTATTAGGCGAGTATCAATAATCCTATTTATGTCCGAAATCGCAAAAAATCTCAGATGACGTCCTGACGTCCTGTTATTATCCAATAACAGAACTATTTAGTCATACAAACAAAATTACCCGATTTGTCTCCATAAACCTCTGCATGTTTCTGAGAAAAGCAATATTCTTCTGAAAGATTACAATGATGACTTCTAAGCGTTATAATTCATTATGAATACTCAATTTGAATAAGTGCTGATTATGAAAATACACTACATACCTGCAGCTGACATGTCCATCTGAAACATTTGAATCTGAAAATGATTCACCACATCCACAATATTTCGTTGCAGTATGCGTTGGAATGTCAGTAATATAACTGTCAACAGAGCGAACATGATTGCAGCACTTGATGTTTTTAATTAATACCAACTTTTGAGGTATTATACCCCACTGTGCGCCGTTGATAATAACATATGCTGAGTGACATATAAGTCCCAGCACCCGGTTTAAATGGTTTTGTTTTAATAAAATTTTGTATAAGTACTTAATGAAGCATAATAAGTAAATGATAAAAATTTCAAAATGATTGCACTGCTTTAAACCCTTTTGACCTTTAATAATGTGTGGATCCACCCTGATGTGCTACGCATTCTCCAACGCGCCTAGGCATGCTTCTGATCAGGTGGTCAATGTCCTCCTGTGGTATCTCATTCCAGGCAACCACCAACTCCTCTCGAAGTGCTTCTAGAGTCTGAGGAGGACGTTGCAAATTGAGTAATCTCCTACCCATCATATTCCACACGTGCTCAATTGGGGATAAGTCGAAAGATCTTGGTGGCCATGGTAACATTGTGACATCATTATGTTGAAAGAAGTCTATTGTGACTCTTGGAACATGTGGTCGGGCATTATCTTGTTGGAAAGTTGGATCTGCCAGGGTGTCAAGATAGGGTAAAAGATGGGGTTCTAGAACTTCGTCGATATAACGCTGCGCGTTCATGTTACCTTTGATGAAGATTAAAGGTGACCTGGAACCATAAGCTATAGCACCCCAAACCATAACTCCAACAGTGTGATGAACATGTCTTTCAGCAAAAAACTGTGGATTCCTCCTTTCACCACGTCGCCTTCTAACCCTGGCACGACCATCGTGCATGCCTAAACAAAATCGAGACTCGTCACTAAAGACAATACTGTTCCATTCCTGATCCCAGAGTGACCGTTGTCTGCACCACTCAAGGCATTACGTCGGTGTTCTCGAATTAAAGGGAGGACCAAGTGTGGCCGGTATGAAAACAAGTCAAAACTTCTCATTCGTCGGTAAACACTTCGCATGCCAATAGGTCTTCCGTGTTCTGCAAACCATTCATTTGCAATGGACCTGGTAGTGGAGAAACGGTCCCTTAAGGCCAATAATCTTAGGCGGCGATCTTCACGGTCTGTTGTTCTACGGCGGCGTCCAGTGCCCCTTGCTCTTTGCGTACGGCCTTGTCGAAGCCATGCCTGACAACATCTAACCACAGTGTCTACACTTCTTTGCACTCTAACTGCAATTGCCCGAAAAGAAAGTCCAGGTTCCCGAAGTCCCACTATACGGCCCCTATCAAACTCACTAAGTTGACGAAATCGTACAGGTCTCCGTACTCTAGGCATCGTAACCGATCGTAAAGGATGTCAAGAACCAAAATCCGCCAACGTTGATTCTTTACTGCGGCCGAAATATTCATTTTTAGAGCGTTACTGAATTAAAAAAAAGCAGTATAAAAACCGGAATGTCCAACTGATATGGCTGAAAATTTTTTCACTTGTTATTTATAGTAAGATAAATACATTCACCAACTTTTATTAAAATAAAACCATTTAAACTGGGTGTTCGGATTTATGTCACTTAGTATACATAGGTAGGGATGAGTATTCAAAAATTTTTTCTTTTTTTGCTCATAACATCTTTCAAAAGTGGAATAGCATTGCTCACTAGTATTCGACAACCGTTCGCAATACTATGAGATAGATAGACCACTTATAAACTACAGCTTGACTGATATTTGCTACAGCTTTAACACATTTTTGGTAAAGAATCTCGTACTTTAATTGGTCGAAAGTCATATCACAGGAACGCTCATCGCAGAGAGTAATTTTGAAAGTATACTAAGTGACATATAAATCTGAACACCCAGTTTAAATGGTTTTATTTTAATAAAATTTTGTATAAGTACTTAATGAAGCATAATAAGTAAATGATAAAAATTTCAAAATGATTGCACTGCTTTAAAGCCCTTTGACCATTAATAATGTGTGGATGCACCCTGATGTGCTACGCATTCTCCAACGCGCCTAGGCATGCTTCTGATCAGGTGGTCAATGTCCTCCTGTGGTATCTCATTCCAGGCAACCACCAACTCTTCTCGAAGTGCTTCTAGAGTCTGAGGAGGACGTTGCAAATTGAGCAATCTCCTACCCATCAGATCCCATACGTGCTCAATTGGGGATAAGTCGGGAGATCTTGGTGGCCATGGTAACAATGTGACATCATTATGTTGAAAGATGTCTATTGTGACTCTTGCAACATGTGGTCGGGCATTGTCTTGTTGGAAAGTTGGATCTGCCAGGGTGTCAAGATAGGGTAAAAGATGGGGTTCTAGAACTTCGTGGATATAACGCTGCGCGTTCATGTTACCTCTGATGAAGATTAAAGGTGACCTGGAACCATAAGCTATAGCACCCCAAACCATAACTCCAACAGTGTGATGAACATGTCTTTCAACAAAAAACTGTGGATTCCTCCTTTCACCACGTCGCCTTCTAACCTTGGCACGACCATCGTGCATGCCTAAACAAAATCGAGACTCGTCACTAAAGACAATACTGTTCCATTCTCTGATCCCAGAGTGACCGTTGTCTGCACCACTCAAGGCGATTACGTCGGTGTTCTCGAGTTAAAGGGAGGACCCAGTGTGGCCGGTATGAAAACAAGCCAAAACTTCTCATTCATCGGTAAACACTTCGCATGCCAATAGGTCTTCCGTGTTCTGCAAACCATTCATTTGCAATGGACCTGGTAGTGGAGAAACGGTCCCTTAAGGCCAATAATCTTAGGCGGCGATCTTCACGGTCTGTTGTTCTACGGCGGCGTCCAGTGCCCCTTGCTCTTTGCGTACGGCCTTCTCGAAGCCATGCCTGACAACACCTAACCACAGTGTCTACACTTCTTTGCACTCTAACTGCAATTGCCCGAAAAGAAAGTCCAGCTTCCCGAAGTCCCACTATACGGCCCCTATCAAACTCACTAAGTTGACGAAATCGTACAGGTTTCCATACTCTAGGCATCGTAACCGATCGTAAAGGATGTCAAGAACCAAAATCCGCCAACGTTGATTCTTTACTGCGGCTGAAATATTCATTTTTAGAGCGTTAGTGAATTAAAAAAAAGCAGTATAAAAACCGGAATGTCCAACTGATAAGGCTGAAAATTTTTTCACTTGTTATTTACAGTAAGATAAATACATTCACCAACTTTTATTAAAATAAAACCATTTAAACTGGGTGTTCGGATTTATATGTCACTTAGTATATTAGCAGCACTATTATTGGTAAACTGAAGGATTTCGCCCATGACTATTTAACCTCACGGAAAATTCTGAAAACTGTGTCAAACAAGTTAGCTTTCTTCCAAGTATGTTGAAATAGAGCTTGTATTGAGCACTTAGCTATATAGGGTAGTGCTGTTATACCATATGATCTGCACAATATGAGTAAGAAGAAGAACACCAAAAATGATACAGTAATCCAAGCAAGCCAACAGGATAGTGAGCCAATAAATTGTCTCAACTATGAAACTGAAATTTCTTCACTTCAGAAAGAAATATTCTATCTAAAGGAAGTCTTAAAAACAAAAAATGAGGTAATCCATTTGTAAAATATCTCCAGACTTTTTAATAGCAAAATATGTCTATCAAATTTCAATATTCAGAAAGGAAAAAGGTAAAATTGATAGATTGGAGACGTGTTATCACGTTCACCCTAACCTGAGGAAGTACGCAAATGGTACTGTGCGTCTGTTAACAGATAAGCACGAAATTCAAATCCATGGAATCGACACCTTCAGCCGTTTCTGCGGCCCTGATACAGAAACGTAGGTTTTTGAAAATTGCAATGTCGGTCGGACTTTCCTCGTAAAATTTATAGACGGCGAGTTGTTGTCAGAAATGCAAGGAGCTATGAAAATGGCGCTCTGCTCCTGCCATGAGATAAGAACGAAAATCAAATCTGTGGCATCGATACCGCTTGCAGTTTCTGCGATCCTGATATAGATCTGTATGTTTCTGAAATCGCACTGTCGACCTAAATTCCCTCGCAAGATTGGTAGAGAAAGAGTTGCTATGAGGACCACAGAATCGCGAGGAGGCATAAAAATTGTACTCTGTTCCTGCTACAGATCTGTAGGTTTCTGCAAATCGCACTGTCATCCACACTTTCGTAATAAGATTTGTAGAGGACGAGTTGCTATCAGGCCAACAGAATAGCGAGGAGGTATAAAAATGGTACCCTGCTCCTGATATGAGATAGGAATCGATACCCCTTACAGTTTCTTCGATACTGATACAGATCTGTATGTAGGTTTCTGGAAAACGCACTATCGTCCAGACTTTTCTCGTAAAATTGCTATACTACAACGATTTAAAACTGTAATGACTCATACGCGTGATCAACACGTGATCAGAGCTCGATCCCGGCTTCCTTCCAGTACAGCCGTATAGCGTACGACATATGTCGTTTCTGTGGCTTTGCGGTGGTCAACAGCACAGACAGAGATGGAAATAATGGCTGATTGTTCTCCGCCGGTAGAACCAATGAAATCAAAGACGCGCCTCGACCGGCCGACTCATAGGCGTCGGCAACGCATTGGAACGTGTTTCGTTGAGCGATCGCATATTGTGTGCTTTTATAAGAATTGTTGTGTGATTGTTATTGTTGTGGTTTCTGTGGTTACTGTTTTGGTTATACTTAACCATGGAGAGTGCAAATGGCACGAGTGGAAGTACTGAAAGCCAGAACAAGTAGACGGCTTCGTAAAGCACTGAAGAGGGACGCGAAAGAAATCGTGCTCAACGTGTTCAATTATCTGAACAGAACTACGTCGCAGGGAGATGCACTCGCGCGTTGTGAAAGTATGACAGGCGTTCCAGAGTGGACCATTCGCAGGGTGGTGCATGAAAAGAAGAAAACTGGAGCTACTACTGATCCAAAGTTTAATTTGAAGGGACGAAAGGCCGTTAAATTGGATGACGATAGCAAAATGGCGTTAAGGCGAACCGTACATTCATTCTTCTTTAGGAATGAGATACCAACCCTCAAGGCTGTACATGCAGCGATCAAGGAAAATGAAATTATACCCCTAATGAGCGTCGAGGTAATGAGGAAATCCCTGCACGAAATTAATTTTCGTTACGAAACGCGTAATCGGTAAAGTCAGTATTGATAGAGAGACCTGAAATAGTCGCCTGGCGTCGAAAATACCTACGCGAAATGATTGAATATAGGCGACAAAGCAGAAAAATCTATTATTTGGACGAGACATGGGTAAATGCAGGTCACACAGTTAAAAAAACCCGGATAGACAAAAACGTAGTGAGTAACCGACAAGCAAGCATTGAAGGTTTGTCAACAGGTCTTCGTGGACCGTCAGGGAAAGGTCAAAGATTGATCGTAACTCATATTGGTAGCGATAGTGGCTTTTTAGAAAAGTGTGACTTGATTTTCGTCTCTAAGAAAGGAGGTGATTACCATGACGAAATGAATTCCAGCTGCTTCGAGAGCTGGTTTCAAGGGGTGCTTCAGCCAGTTGAGCCCAACTCTGTGATCGTCATGGATAATGCTTCCTACCATAGTCGTCGAGCCTAACGTGTACCGACTATGGGATCTCGAAAAAGTGACATGCAGCAATGGTTGCGCGAAAAAGGAATCCCGTTTGACGATTCATGTGTGAAAGCGGAATTGTATGAAAACATTAAACAGCACAAACCTGCGAACATTAGTTACGTGATTGATGAGATGGCCCGTCAATGTGGTGTCACTGTGCTGCGGTTACCGCCCTACCACTGTGAACTGAACCCAATAGAGCTCATCTGGGCTCAAGTGAAGGGTTATATTGCGCGCCATAACACAACCTTCAGATTACCACACGTTAAGGTTTTACTTGAGACTTCCATACAGCTAATAACGCCCGAAGCTTGGCAGAATGCTATCCGTCATGTTGTGAAGGAAGAAACAAAAATGTGGCAGCTTGACCACCACATCGACACCATCATAGAGCCAGTTATAGTCAATTTCAACGAGGAAAGCGATAGCGACAGTTTATTACTGTCAGATGTAAGTGGAAGCGACGATGAATAAAGGTAATTCCCAAATTTTTGACTTACAATATGTTTCAAACCACTCTTTATTAAGCATGTGACAAATCTAGTTCACCCATGTTAAACATTCATACCCCGCCTATGAACAGCCGACTACTGGTAGTTAAGTGATGTTCACGTGAACATCGATGAGCCATTACAGTTTTAGATAGTTATAGTATAGACGACGAGTTGCTGTCAGGATCACAGAAATGCGCGGAGGTACGTAAATGGTACTCTGCTCCTGCTATGAGATCAGAACGTAAGTCAAATCCATGGCATCAATACATTTCACCATTTCTGCGATCCTGATAAGATGTACACGTATCTTGAAATTGTACTGTTGACCAGACTTGCCTCGGAAGATTGGTAGACGACGAGTTGCTATCAGTGCCACAGAAACGCGAGAAGGTATGAAAACGGTACGCTGCTCCTGCTATGAGTTAGGAACGAAAATCAAATCCATTGCATCGATACCTCTTGCTATTTCTACGATCCTGGTACAGATCTGTAGGTTTCTGAAAATCGCACTGAAATCCAGACTTTCCTCGTAAAATTGGTTAACAAGGTACTATCAGGACCACAGAAACGCGAGGATGTATAAAACTAGTAATCTGCTTGCTACGGAATAGGAACGAAAATCAAATGCATGGCATCGATGTCTCTTGCCGTTACTGAAATGAGATAAGAAGGAAATTCAAATCCACGGAATCGATACCTCTTGCGTTTCTGCGACTCTGATCTGTAAGTTTCTGGAAATTGCACTGTCGGCCAAACCTTTCTCGTGAATTTGGTGAGAACGGTCCATGTATGGTACCCTCCAGAATTTGGATCCTGGGCATCTACGCTCCACGTCGTTTCTGTGATCCTGATGCAAATCTATAAGTTTCTAAAACTAGCACTGTCGACCAGGCTTTCTTTGTAAAATTGGTAGATTGTAGAGTTGCTATCAGGTTCGCAGATACGAGAGGAAGTACGTAAATGATACTCTAGCCCTGCTATGAGATTAGAACCAAATTTAAATCCATGGCATCGATATCTCTTGCCGTTTCGGCAACACGTACAGCTAAGGGGCGAGTACACATCATATGTACAACTGCTAGTTCTAAGTTGACATTTTGTAGAAAAACCTCGCAAAAAAACTATATAATGCCAAAAAATGATATAATGTCACTTTTCAAGATACGTAATACCCCTGTTGGTCCGGTCGAGTGTGGCGGAGTATCACCATATTGCTGCAAATGTGTTTGCCTTATGTGATGAATCTTCAAACTAGACATACATTCTTGATGCGCCACTGGTACTACCGTGTAGCCAAGGGACAAGGAATGCGGGCGGAGGTGTCGGATGAGAGAGGCGCGGGGAAAGGAGAACGCTGCAGAAGATAAGAGCGTGGTTTTTTTGATGCCCGATGTGCGAGGTATTTTGACAGAATATTTTGGAGAGAAGAATAGAGTACATGATTATTGATCCCCGGCGTTTTATTCTTGACAAATCAGAAGTGGGATTATTCACGTGCCGTACAAGTTCTACAAGTGAGTGAGTCAAAATGGGGAAGACGAAAAGGCGTAGTTCTTCTAGTTCATCCTCTAGCTCTCAGTCCAGTTCAAGTTCTTCGACGGACGATGGAAGGAGACATCGTAGGCGAGTAAAACGCTTACGAAAAGAACTCAAATTCAAAAACAAGTTTTTAGAGAAGCAACCTGTAAGTACTGCATACAGTAGTTTACATATCGATGAATCGCTAATACCTGAGTTTAACCCCTCAAATAGACAATGTATAGACTGGGTCAACAAGGTTGATCAGTTGCGTGAGTTATACCAGTGGGATGACCAATTGACAATTAAATTAGCAACAAAAGCAGTTTATGATATTTTGGTTGTCTGTTGAGATAAGTAGGCTCAAATAACAAAAGCAGTTTTTGATATTTTGGTTGTCTGTTGAGATAAGTAGGCTCAAACAACAAAAGCAGTTTATGATATTTTGGTTGTCTGTTGAGATAAGTAGGCTCAAACAACAAAAGCAGTTTATGATGTTTTGGTTGTCTGTTGAGATAAGTAGGCTCAAACAACAAAAGCAGTTTATGATGTTTTGGTTGTCTGTTGAGATAAGTAGGATCAAACAATAAAAGCAGTTTATGATGTTTTGGTTGTCTGTTGAGATAAGTAGGCTCAAACAACAAAAGCAGTTTATGATGTTTTGGTTGTCTGTTGAGATAAGTAGGCTCAAACAACAAAAGCAGTTTATGATATTTAGGTTGTCTGTTGGGATAAGTAGGCTCAAACAACAAAAGCAGTTTATGATGTTTTGGTTGTCTGTTGAGATAAGTAGGCTCAAACAACAAAAGCAGTTTATGATATTTAGGTTGTCTGTTGGGATAAGTAGGCTCAAACAACAAAAGCAGTTTATGATGTTTTGGTTGTCTGTTGAGATAAGTAGGCTCAAACAACAAAAGCAGCTTATGATATTTTGGTTGTCTGTTGAGATAAGTAGGCTCAAACAACAAAAGCATTTTATGATGTTTTGGTTGTCTGTTGAGATAAGTAGGCTCAAACAATAAAAGCAGTTTATGATGTTTTGGTTGTCTGTTGAGATAAGTAGGCTCAAACAACAAAAGCAGTTTATGATGTTTTGGTTGTCTGTTGAGATAAGTAGGCTCAAACAACAAAAGCAGTTTATGATATTTTGGTTGTCTGTTGAGATAAGTAGGCTCAAACAACAAAAGCAGTTTATGATGTTTTGGTTGTCTGTTGAGATAAGTAGGCTCAAACAACAAAAGCAGTTTATGATATTTTGGTTGTCTGTTGAGATAAGTAGGCTCAAACAACAAAAGCAGTTTATGATGTTTTGGTTGTCTGTTGAGATAAGTAGGCTCAAACAATAAATTTATAAATTAAATATAAATAAAAAATAAATTTATGGGTCTATACATTCTTGATGCTCCACTGGTACTACCGTGTAGCCAAGGGACAAGGAATGCGGGCGGAGGTGTCGGATGAGAGAGGCGCGGGGAAATGAGAACGCTGCAGAAGATAAGAGTGTGGTTTTTTTGATGCCCGATGTGCGAGGTATTTTGACAGAATATTTTGGAGAGAAGAATAGAATACATGATTATTGATCCCGGGCGTTTTATTCTTGACACTTATTTGCACCTATGCTGAGAATCTCGAAAATTATGAGACTTGTACTAAAGCAAAAATTTTCCATACAGCAGTTGCAAAATTTCTAGACACTCTATAATCATCGTAACACGTCGATCTGTGATATCAGGTAAACGATACTCCCTCGTTGTGGTACCAGTTGATCCTCTATAAAGCAAAATAAATAATAAAAAACCATCGCATGTTCATTAAGTCTAAAATCGTATTACCGAATCAAATGTAGGTATCGCAAACGTAATTATTTATACAGCATTTTATATGAAATTTTATTATCAGCTAATCCATTTAAATAGCATATCTAAAAACGGTGTTGTTCGTTGCTTCAGAAGTTGCAAGGCCTACTATACCGTATCAACATGGAAACCATTTTTAAGTGCATGGTGGTACTACTCCTGACTAAGGTAAGACTTCGAAACAAGGAAAACATTGTACGAACGAAAAATTTAATCTAATGTGTAAAATACTTTGGTGCGTTTCCGTTGTATCATCTGACTATCTGTGTCAATACTTTTTCATGTGCAAGTCTACATTTCCGATTCAACTCTATAAATCTTAGCGATGCTGGTGAAATCTTAAGAAATCTTCATTGCATCACGATAACTGGCAAAAATTGTATTTTGCCGAAACTGAAAGAGAACATGAATGATGTGGCAGATAAAGCGGCTCTTAGCTAAGCACAGCCAAATCGTTTCAAACTAAGTCACAAAAAACGAATAGGGCAGTTCGCTTCAAACACAAACCTCAAAAAACTCCCGTCGCCTGCCCCGTTATGAGGGCGAAACAGGGCCTCTAAAGGGACCTGCCCAGTGGAAGGATCACTGCTATCCTCGGAGGGAGACTATCAAGAAATACGCTTGCAAAGATAGTTACAGAAAGAAAGACTACTGAAGGTAAGGGGTGATGCCTATGCAGGTCGCCTAATACATGTTTATGTAAAATGGTATGAGGTTTGCCGCACCTTTCTTTATAAACAAAAGGAAATGGTGGTGTGTTTCCTCCTTTCTTTTTTGAAATCAATTAATAAATGAATAAAACATATAAATAAAATCAAATGGCAGCAGCGGTGGCCGCAGTAGTAGACTCTTCGGTCTCCTGATCAGTCGCCGTGCGCTGTGCAGGTTCGAGTCCCGTCCCAGGAGAAATTTTTCTCTTGGCTATGGATGTTGTGATTGTCCGTAGGTGGTAGACGGTCTGTGACTGTCGAACGCGGAGGTACTACCCGGCGGATCTCGTAGGCGGAGCCAGAATGTGTGCATGTTACATGCACACGTGTTCCCTCGCCAGAGTCCATGTGGCGCCCCCTCCCCTTTCCCCTGTATCCCCCTATAGCCCCACGGTACCCAATGGGTGTTTAGGCCTTAGGCCTTCGTGGTAGTTGGAGTATAAAAAAACAAAACAAAAAAATGACGAGTCAGCGCAAAACAAATGTCTAATTGCATGCTAATATGGGCCCTAGCTCAATAAAGCGCCAGTGACTTAAGAGAGATTTAGGCCCGTATCGTCAGTCATCCCTATAATTGTAGGGCGCCTTTATGGCCTCCTTGATTGTCATAATTTTCTATTTTTCCATGTCAGTGCTCTATTTTGAGGTTATCTCACAAACATCTATTTGCAGCAAATTGTGCTTGCTTTTGAGGTATATCATGTTTTATCAGCCTGAAATTTATTACAATTTAAAAGGAAAACATATCTTTACAATAGGAGAGCGCTGACGCTGACACTGGACAAGTGTAATCTAGAAATTTTTGAAGGAGAGAAAGGAGTATGACAATCAAGGAGGCCATAAACGCGCCCTACAATTGTAGGGACAACTGACGATACGGGCCTAAGCCACGAATCCCTGAGATGTTAATCGTAACTTGTTTTGCTTGACCACCCACACAAAAGAAGATAATTTAATAGCAATGACGTAAACTAATTAACGGTACAGAGAGCCAAATGAAACGCAAGATAGTTAAAACAATCACAATATATTAACGAATCAACTCACACATATATGTTCCACTATTTAAAACTGTACGACATATGTCGTTTCTGTGGCTTTGCGGTGGTCAACAGCACAGACAGAGATGGAAATAATGGCTGATTGTTCTCCACCGGTAGAACCAATGAAATCAAAGACGCGCCTCGACCGGCAGACTCATAGGCGTCGGCAACGCGTTGGAACGTGTTTCGTTGAGCGATCGCATATTGTGTGTTTTTATAAGAATTGTTGTGTGATTGTTATTGTTGTGGTTTCTGTGGTTACTGTTTTGCTTATACTTAACCATGGAGAGTACAAATGGCACGAGTGGAAGTACTGAAAGCCAGGGAACAAGTAGACGGCTTCGTAAAGCACTGAAGAGGGACGCGAAAGAAATCGTGCTCAACGTGTTCAATTATCTGAACAGAACTATGTCGCAGGGAGATGCACTCGCGCATTGTGAAAGTATGACACGCGTTCCAGAGTGGACCATTCGCAGGGTGGTGCATGAAAAGAAGAAAACTGGAGCTACTACTGATCCAAAGTTTAATTTGAAGGGGCGAAAGGCCGTTAAATTGGATGACGATAGCAAAATGGCGTTAAGGCGAACCGTACATTCATTCTTCTTTAGGAATGAGATACCAACCCTCAAGGCTGTAGATGCAGCGATCAAGGAAAATGAAATTATACCCCAAATGAGCGTCGAGGTAATGAGGAAATCCCTGCGCGAAATTAATTTTCGTTACGAAACGCGTAATCGGAAGTCAGTATTGATAGAGAGACCTGAAATAGTCGCCTGGCATCGAAAATACCTACGCGAAATGATTGAATATAGGCGACAAAGCAGAAAAATCTATTATTTGGACGAGACATGGGTAAATGCAGGTCACGCAGTTAAAAAACCTGGATAGACAAAAACGTAGTGAGTAACCGACAAGCAAGCATTGAAGGTTTGTCAACAGGTCTTCGTAGACCGTCATGGAAAGGTCAAAGATTGATAGTAACTCATATTGGTAGCGATAGTGGCTTTTTAGAAGAGTGTGACTTGATTTTCGTCTCTAATCATAGTCGTCGAGCCGAACGTGTACCGACTATGGGATCTCGAAAAAGTGACATGCAGCAATGGTTGCGCGAAAAAGGAATCCCGTTTGACGATTTATGTGTGAAAGCGGAATTGTATGAAAAAATTAAACAGCACAAACCTGCGAACATTAGTTACGTGACTGATGAGATGGCCCGTCAATGTGGTGTCACTGTGCTGCGGTTACCGCCCTACCACTGTGAACTGAACCCAATAGAGCTCATCTGGGCTAAAGTGAAGGGTTATATTGCGCGCCATAACACAACCTTCAAATTACCAGACGTTAAGGTTTTACTTGAGACTTCCATACAGCTAGTAACGCCCGAAGCTTGGCAGAATGCTATCCGTCATGTTGTGAAGGAAGAAACAAAAATGTGGCAGCTTGACCACCACATCGACACCATCATAGAGCCAGTTATAGTCAATTTCAACGAGGAAAGCGATAGCGACAGTTTATTACTGTCAGATGTAAGTGGAAGCGACGATGAATAAAGGTAATTCCCAAATTGTTGACTTACAATATGTTTCAAACCACTCTTTATTAAGCATGTGACAAATCTAGTTCGCCCATGTTAAACATTCATACCCCGCCTACGAACAGCCGACTACTGGTAGTTAAGTGATGTTCACGTGAACATCGATGAGTCATTACAGTTTTAGATAGTTATAGTATACAGTGCAAGTTGAAAGAGATATTATCTAAAATTGACGTACAAGGAGGTGTTTGAAATGTAACTCTCAAAGTATGGGCCGCTTGGCTCGTACCCAAAATTTAAGGTCTAAAGAGAGAGAAAGATTGCTGTTTATTCTCTTTGTCAGATAAAATTGCTCATTAAGACACTCGAACTTGAAAAACCAAGTACATTTTCACAAGAAAAGTAAAGCAAAGGAAAAAAAGAGAAAAATGTACTAAAGCAAAACACCCTCAAAAAGTTATCACTTGTTCTAAAAAAGTTATGGCAGCTCAAAAATCAAAATCATGATAAATGCAATGGATCAAGTACACTCTAAAAATTTCAGTCAACAATAATCTATATACATATGTATAATATCTATAAAAGTCTAAAGTAAAATGTTATTTCACCTGTTTACATAAGGGTTTTTTTTTCTTAACGGGGCTCCTACAATCACGAGCACCATCTGCTGAGGTAACGGGGGGTGAAAAGGAAGCGAGGGTAGGCTGGCCTTAGACGCTCGTCGGCGCTACCTTAAAAGAGGAAAGGCTGACTGCGGGTGCGTACCGAGGTAAATTTTTATAATAAAAGAGTCGGATTTCGATTAGCGATCTAGCCTGTAAATCGTTTCCTATTTTGGTACTCAGCAAGTGATCATTTAGTATTGTTTTACCCTTGTTACTGTTCGTCGATATTGTGTTGTTGAATTATTGTGTTGTACTCTTGTTGGTGTGATTGTTCTTTAGTGCCTTTTTTATCAAGGTTGATAATGGACAATAAAAGGTCATATGCGACAATTTTAATTACGAATGCAGTGAATTTAATTCATGATGAGGACAACAATAGTGTGGAGCAGTTCAACTCTATAATCGCAAAATACATTGGGGTAAGCGAATAAATTCTTGCAAGAATAGGTCATACCATGGAAGATGTGCTGCAGCTGTAGTGAGCCACAATACCGAGCGACGTGTCTAGGTGGTCCAAATAAATTAGCGTTCTAAGCCTCGCATATCACTAAGATGGAACAAAAACTCAAACGCAAGAATCTTGAAAAAAGCTGATATAAAAATAACTAACAATTCGGATAGCAATTCCAAAGAAAATGAATAGTTTTATGGCGAATTCTGTCAAAAACTTGACATGAACGACATTGATTTGGAGATTGCTAAGCAAGAATCTTTAGAGAAACTTGGAAAAAGTGACGACGAGATTTTGCAGATCGAACAAGTTACCAAATCACAGGACTGTACTTTGTGGCGTCTTCATAGGAGGATGAGGATAGCAGCGTCTCGATTTGGTAAAGTTTGTAGAAGAAGGCAGACAGCAAGCTGTAAAGTTCTAGTAAACCCCATCTTATACCCCACAGATTTTTCTAGTAAGGCAATAAAAAAGGCAATACAAAAATCATTGGACACGGCAGTTCAATCTTGTGGTTTGTTTATTGATCGCACACATCCATTTCTGGCAGCATCACCTCCATCTACCTATTACAGTAGACAAGACATGTACTTGATCCCGGTATAAGCCTACCTGTTTATTGCTTTGCAAAAAATATCCAACTGTTTCCTCTTATTTTGCCGGCATAAGATATTTTTATTACCCTCGTTCAATTGTTACCATCTACCACACGACCCTTGTAAACATAATTGTGTTTATTGATATGAATAAACGAATTAGAATTTGAGCTTACTTTTTATTATTTTCAAATGAAACTCTTGCAGCGTGTTAAAACACAGTCCACAGAGTGCCAGCGATCCACTTTTTCGATTTTATCCACTAGGATCTTTTTAAAATATCAAGAAGTTGAGCACAAATAGTGAGCATTTCAACCCACAATAATTCTTGCTCAAAGACAAATTTTTGTAAAAAGCTCTGATAGCACCCTAGGCAATTATGGCCTGCTTATATCCAGAAAAACATCACAAACTGCAGAACGCAAAAGATAACGGCGAAATGGGTACATTTCACGGGTTATGAAATTCGAATGAAAATGCAGGTATAAAATCTACCAAATGATCGTTCTCAAAAACATATTTCCTTGACATATCGATAATTTTAAAGTTCCACGCTAAATTCCCCTATACTTGACTGGAGCGATATCCGAATTTATTCTTCCCTGTTTCACTGATTTCAACCTCCCCTTTTTAAGCAGTACAATTTTTTTATGTCAGTGATTAGGAACCCCTGAAACGTTAAAAACGGAGTTTCAGCAATAATTGTTACTTTTTCTTTTTTGCCTATAGCACCGTTGCCACTGGACTAAAACTACAAAACTTTGGCATACTAGTAATCGCGTGTGGAAGTTTCATAAAAATCCGAGCGGTAATTTCCAAGTTGATGATGAGGGACACAGTTTTTCGTGATGTAGATGTCATATGACTTAAAAAAACATAACTCATTTTAGAAATTTTTCGCGATTACAATACTTCCTCGTCAATGGCGTGGGAAGTAAAACGGCTTCAGAATCGAGGAGTATCAGCGATCGTGAATATGAGTACCTATTTGCAGAACGACTTATCTACGCGATATTATATGAAATAGGGCCACCAAATTATCTGAATGCGTCCTTTCTTAGTCCGTACATTGCGCCGCAACGCTTGGGTTGGCAGCACGAAACAGTAGACAAAATTCGTCCAAAATACGATTTGTCGACGTTTGCGCGCTTCGAACTGGACGCTTTATTTTTTGATATAATTGGATAAAATTTTCACAGGGTGCTGAAGACAAAACCCCACAGGGTGCTATAGAGCCACTTTTTCATTTTTTTCACTAGGTTCTTTTTAAAAAAATCGCGAAGTAGAACAAAAAAAGTGCGCACTTCTACCCATCATAAAACTTGTGCAAAAACAAAATTTCAAAAAGTGCTCCTAAAGCACCCTAAGCATAAATCTTCTCAACATACTGTATGAATTTAATTCAAAAATATTGAAAAATAGAGTGTCAGTTTCGAAGCAGCTGAACCCTTGTAAATGGCTTGAAACTCACTGCATCGGAGAAATGGGTGGCTTCTCAGCGAAATTGGCTACAAGACAGCTGGAGGAGTGTAGATGGTGGTTTTCCTCAATGCCTTCCCACTAAAAGGAAGCAGATATTGAGCAAACTTCTTCCTTACATGCATTAATGCACGAGGTCAGATGGTATAAAAAAAGGAACCTACCGCTGAAGAATATGATGATTACAGTCGACCAGTTCAGTAGTGAGCTCAAATCACCGATATGCTAGAAAACTGGTATTTTCAGCTCCTGAGGGTTGCTTTATATTAAATAAGGAGCTTAAACAAATAATTCTAGATAACATCCCAAAATTCGATATTGCCAGTAGTGTGCTATCTTAATAGGAAAAATACCGAAAATGATTTCTTGCATGGCGTTATTAGACCTTATGGTCCTATCGCTGTAAATACCGTATACCTGTAAACAAAATTAGGGTTATACAGGGTGGTCTCGGAAAACGACACGTTTTTATCGGGATTACATATAAAACTAAAAAAATCGCGAAATCCAAACGAAGAATTGTGTCACCAACAGACTTATACATGTTATAGACGCCTCATAGGAGTACATCCTGATAGCATAGCTTTGCGAAAAATAAGGGGACTTCAGGGTGATTCTGCGCATACAAGCTATCACTGGTTAAAAGAGAAAATAATCGCAGAACCCAAACGGTCTATACAACGTATACGTTGTATGCGCAATCACTCTGTAGTCCTCTGATTTCTCGCAAAGCTATATCATAAGGATGTACTACTATGAGATCTCTACAAGATATATGAGTTTGATGGTGGCACAGTTATTCGTTTGGGTTCTGCGATTTTTTCCGTTTGAGGAATCAACGCTTGAATGCCCAGATTCACCCTGAAGTCCCCTGATTTTTTGCAAAGCTATGTCATAGAGATGTACTTTTATGAGGTATTTACAACATATATGAGTTTTTTGATGGCACAATTCTTCGTTTGGGTTCTGAGATTTTTTTTCTGTTTTGAGGAATCAAGCTTTGTATGACCAGATTCATAGTGTAGTCCCCTGATTTTTCGCAAAACTATGCCATAAAAATATGGCTCCAATGGGGTCTATACAACATGTATACTAAGTGACATATAAATCCCACCCCCACACCCAGTTTAAATGGTTTTATTTTAATAAAAGTTGGTGAATGTATTTATCTTACTGTAAATGACAAGTGAAAATTTCAGCCGCAGTAAAGAATCAACGTTGGCGGATTTTGGTACTTGACATCCTTTACGATCGGTTACGATGCCTAGAGTACGGAGACCTGTACGATTTCGTCAACTTAGTGAGTTTGATAGGGGCCGTATAGTGGGACTTCGGGAAGCTGGACTTTCTTTTCGGGCAATTGCAGTTAGAGTGCAAAGAAGTGGTTAGGTGTTGTCAGGCATGGCTTCGAGAAGGCCGTACGCAAAGAGCAAGGGGCACTGGACGCCGCCGTAGAACAACAGACCGTGAAGATCGCCGCCTAAGATTATTGGCCTTAAGGGACCGTTTCTCCACTACCAGGTCCATTGCAAATAAATGGTTTGCAGAACACGGAAGACCTATTGGCATGCGAAGTGTTTACCGACGAATGAGAAGTTTTGGCTTGTTTTCATACCGGCCACACTGGGTCCTCCCTTTAACTCGAGAACACCGACGTAATCGCCTTGAGTGGTGCAGACAACGGTCACTCTGGGATCAGGAATGGAACAATATTGTCTTTAGTGACGAGTCTCGATTTTGTTTAGGCATGCACGATGGTCGTGCCAGGGTTAGAAGGTGACGTGGTGAAAGGAGGAATCCACAGTTTTTTGTTGAAAGACATGTTCATCACACTGTCGGAGTTATGGTTTGGGGTGCTATAGCTTATGGTTCCAGGTCACCTTTAATCTTCATCAGAGGCAACATGAATGCGCAGCGTTATATCCACGAAGTTCTAGAACCCCATCTTTTACCCTATCTTGACACCCTGGCAGATCCAACTTCCCAACAGGATAATGCCCGACCACATGTTGCAAGAGTCACAATAGACTTATTTCAACATAATGATGTGACATTGTTACCATGGCCACCAAGATCTCCCGACTTATCCCCAATTGAGCACGTGTGGGATATGATGGGTAGGAGATTGCTCAATTTGCAACGTCCTCCTCAGGCTCTAGAAGCACTTCGAGAGGAGTTGGTGGTTGCCTGGAATGAGATACCACAGGAGGACATTGACCACCTGATCAGAAGCATGCCTAGGCGCGTTGGAGGATGCGTAGCACATCAGGGTGCATCCACCCATTATTAAAGGTCAAAGGGTTTTAAAGCAGTGCAATCATTTTGAAATTTTTATCATTTACTTATTATGCTTCATTAAGTACTTATACAAAATTTTAATAAAATAAAACCATTTAAACTGGGTGTTCGGATTTATATGTCATTTAGTATACATTGATACATGCTATAGTTTGGCACATCATTGACGTAAATAAAAAAAGACTCGGTCCTAAGACACTTTCTTGGGGAGCTATGTGGTTGACATGTACAGTGTTAGACAGGCAATTTTGAAAACTAACATACTGTCTTCTGTCTGAAAATAACGAAATTAATATCATGATGTTATTGCTAAAACCAAAAAGCGCCAACCTTTAAAGCAGAATGTGATGTTGTACACAATCAAATACTTTTGCAAGATCATAGAAGCTAGCTAGATCGAATATGATATCTTGAAGACATTTGTTGATGAAACTGATATAATCGTTTGCTGCTTTCGTCCATCTATTGGTACGGTATCCATTTTGTAAATTGTTGTCAATCGCGTTGACCATATCTGGTCTAGCACTACAGCACTAGCATTAATAACGAGAGCTATGATATCACCAGGTATTTCAGGAATAATTCAATAAATCTATCTTCTTCAAGGGTGCAACATCAATGGATCCATTAGAAGAACTAGTTGGTGCATTAGAAATGGGAACCTTGGACGGAATTGAAAGAGCAAGAAAAGCACTTGATCATTTGATAGTAAGTACAACCCAAAATTGAATTTATGAATTGGTGCACTAGAAATGGGAACCTTGGACGGAATTGAAAGAGCAAGAAAAGCACTTGATCATTTGATAGTAAGTATGGGGTTGTCCAAAACAGACGCAGGAAAGTAAACGCATATTAAAACAAGAAAGATTGATATTCAAATCAAGTTGGGTACTTTATTCATTTATACCATTTATGTATGAAAAAGAATATCGCTCAAATGTTCACGACTGGATTTACAGACGTCCACGCGATGGTCGAAATTTTCAATGACATTTTGCAACATGGTCGGTTCTATGGCACTTATCTCGGCAATCATGTTGTTTTTGAGTTCTTGGAGGGTGGCTGGTTTGTTGACGTAGACTTTGCTTTTCAAATATCCCCATAAAAATAAGTCCAAAGGAGTCAAATCGCACGATCTTGGTGGCCATGGCACATTTTCTCTGCGCGAAATCACGCGATCACCGAAGGACTGCAATCGATGGATGTTGACGTTGGTTGTGTGGCATGTTGCACCGTCTTGTTGGGAATAAACATCGTCCATATCCATTCCTTCAAGTTGCGGCAAAAAATAGTCCTCTATCATCATGTGATATAAATAATAAATAATAATAATAATAATAAAATGTCTTTATTAGGCACATTATATACACTACCACATAATATGACCTCTACGTAGGCGAAGTCTAGCTCTTGGCTACTCTACTTAACCTACCCAAATACTCAATTGAAACACTCAATCAAAAGAAACTTTGATAAGCAAAAGACGCTTCAAAACAACGAGCTTGATAGCTTCCTAGCATACATATATACACACATATATTACGTAAACTAAAATTAAATGTAAGAATTAAAAACTAACTTTTCCAAAATTACTATAATGACAAATAAATCTGTTTCACATGCTTACGAAATCTGTTTACTGGCCAATCCTTTATATTGTCATCTAATTCGTTATAAATCAGGATAGCATTGTAAGTGTATGAACTACGAAATAAAGTTGTTTTATACATAGGGATCTCTAGTCTTTTTTTGTGTCTGAAATCAATGTCTGAATTATTTCGTCTGAAAACAAATTTCTCATAAAGATACAAGGGGGATCTAGAAAATATGATCTTATGTGTAAACACTGCTAGATGGTACTTGCAAGCATTTTCTATACACATCCAACCAAGCTGAAATCTCTTTAAGGAAACATGATCATACTTCTTGAGATTAAATACAAATCGACAACAAGTATTTTGGAGTTTTTGGAGTCTTGCTTTTGTGATAGAATCAAGACAATGATAGAACACAGTGCTACAGTAAAATAAGCTTGGAAATATAATAGCCTCACATAACTTTTTTCTAACTTTAAAATTCAAAATAGAGCGATTGACATAAAAACACTTCAACGTTGACGCTCAGAATTGACGGTAACGGCGTCCCCGGCCGCATTTTCGAAAAAGTAAGGTCCGATGATGCCTTTTGACCACAATTCACACCACACAGTCAATTTTTGAGGATGCATCGGCTGCTCTTGATACTCACGGGGATTTTCCTTCGCCCAGATGCGGCAGTTTTGCTTGTTTACCGTCCCATTCAAAGGGAAATGCGCGTCGTCGCTGAACATGATTTTTGATGAAAAATTGGCATCAATTTGGCGGTGTTCAAGGAGCCAATCTGAGAACGTTCGGCGCGAAAAATGGTCGGCCCGACGCAGCTCTTACGTCAATTGGATCTTGTAGGCGTGTACATTCAAATCCTTGTGGAGAATGCGGAGCAAACTGGTTCTCGAAATGCCCAATTCTTGGGATCGACGCGTTGTTGATTGTTTCGGATCGTCTCTCACACTCTCCTTCACAACAGCAATATTTTCCGGTGTGCGAACGCTCCTTGGCCGGCCAGAGCCTGGCAGATTTGCCACAGAACCTGTTGCCTCGAATTTACGCACCAGACGACCGATGGTTGTTTCGTTTGGGCGGTTGTTGCGACCGAAATGTTCACGAAGCGCGCGAAACGTGTTTTTTATTTTTGCACCGTTTTTGTAGTGCTCTTGAATAACTTTAATGCGGTCTTCATAGCGATCAATGGTAAACATTCAACTAACAAAATGACAGAAAACAAAGATGGCGTCTATGTCAAATTGACGTTTACTTTCCTGCGTCCCTATTGGACAACCCATTACAACCCAAGATTGAATTTATGGATAGCTTGAGAGAATTAATTCTTGTATCTCCTGCAACCTATCAAGTGATGTAGACCATGTTTACATCACAGGTAAGCGTGTTTAGGTAGCTACAGAACTGTATAGCTCTATGCGTATCGTTACACCGTTTTTTACATCGAAGCAGCCACGCAAGCAGAACCCTAAATGGTTAGTAAAGCTAGGTAAAGCTTCGTCTTGTATATTATTATATATAACACCGTCGGGAGCGGTTGCTGTGAGGGTCCCAAAGAAACTTTTTTATCCGATTTTTGAACTGCCTAAGATTATTGGAACTGATTGATCGTGCAGGAAAGGAGGTCGTTGATCTGTAAGATGAACAGTGTTGATCCCTGGGGAACACCAGTGCTGAAGTTGTGGGATGAACAGGAGAATCCCTCAATAACCACGGATATCTTGCGGCCAGAGAGAAAAAGTCAGCCACCCATCTGCAAAGCTTCTCTGGGAGGATGGAAGTTTGCGTACCACAGCTTATCGAACGCTTTCGTGAAATCAAAAGCAACGACATGAGCCTCACCATAAGACTGAATGAGCTTACTTCATAATTGGCGTAAGCTAGGTGACGTTCCAAAACAAACGCCTTATTTGATATTTTTACATTCAGTCATTCAGATAAAGATAGAGAATCCCGGTAGGGTTGCCACGTTTTCAGTTACGCTGGTCGCCAAGTTATGATGAGAAAATCGCCAGAAATCGTCAATCCTGAAAGTGAAAATTAACTAAGAGTCTAACCATAAAACTCCAGGCTAGAAATTGGAATGCATTTGTCGCCCGGAAAGGTGGAGTAGAGTTGAAGATAACTGAAGAGCGAAGTAGAGGGGGGTTAGACATAATAATACTCCAAGAATCCATTGAAAAGTGGGGGTGAGGAGGGCGTTGTTAGACATGTGTATTATTAACGAAACTATAAGTTCGTTCACAGGGGACTGATCCAGAGGGACGTTTTGAGGTGGCGGGACTTCTGGCGAATGTTCTTGTGACAACGCGAAAACGGGGAGCAGGGTTACCGACTATTGAAAATTGAAGATCGCAGATACAATAATTTTCTGCGTATTTGTCTTTTGCCATTGATCTTTTAGGGGGGGGGTAGCCCTCTATCTTCTCTCGGTTGTAGTACAAAAATTGTAATAATCGTACATCAAGCAACACTGTGTCAAAAGTGTTAGGATGGGATGTCGTTGATATGCTCGGAACACGACTCTTGACGTGACATTTGACCATAAGCGTCATTGTGCTTAGAGAACAGAAGTTGTGCTGGTCCTGGTTTCATGTTTGCATCTCCACCGAAAACATGGTCGTAATGAAAGGTCAGGATCGTCATAAGTCCTGCAACATTGCATCACTGATTCGTTTGATAAGACCTCCCTGATCAGCGACGAGCAATTTTGGTCAGTACCCACGTAGCGCCCATTGGGGAGTGTCGCCCTGCTTCAAAAAGGCCTTCTTGTGTTTGACAGTAACCTAACCTATTGCAGAAGCCTGTGCGAACATATTCTGGCGTAACATTTTGGCAACGCGGAAGCTTGCATCAGCTTCTGCGTCACCGTTGCTAGGCAATTTGATGATAACCTTCGCTCTTCAGCCGGCTTCTATCGCTTTCTAACATGTGTTGATACATACTTCTCTCTCGTACGCATTGAACTCAAGCTGTCAGACAAATTTGGTTTTCCCTGTATACACATATCAGCAAAAATTGTTTACAAATTAATTGGCGTCATAAATTTTAAAAATCGCGAGATATCGCCAGTTTGCTGGATACTGCGCGACATTAAAGTAGAGAATCGCCAAGCTATCCATTTGAAGCCGTCAAAGCGCCACTTTGGCGAAAAATGTCTACACCTGGCAACCCTGAATCCCGGCAAGCAGCACGGCGCATGACGCCGGTAATACAGTTGCCTCGATTTTGCATGGAGAAGATGACCTTGGTGTTGCCAGTTCATTCTTAAGACGTTTCACTTCCTGAATATGACGTGTTGATTATTGAGATCATCCTATACGCATTGTTTCCCGCGAATTTTATACGTTTTTCCATTTAAACTGAATCCGCAGAATTGCATCTATAAATATCATTATTCATGGGCTTTTATCGATCTATATGCAAATATTTACCGCAAAACATGAAATGAGTCACATCGCTTACGCATAGACGTTATACTACACCTTACTATCGTCGGCTGTCTGAATCACTTCCGGTCGGGTGCGCCATCTAACGGGGCCCGCCAATCAACATATACCATCAACCCGTTCAAACTTCCCGCCGTCTGATCCACCAATCAGAGCACGCGGTGGATCTAGCGGTTCCCGCCAATCAACATATACCATCAACCCCGTTCAAATTTCCCGCCGTTTGATCCGCCAATCAGAGCACGCGGTGGATGTGGTGGGCGTGGCCAAAAAGTGGAAGTGGTGGGGGGCGCCCAGAGTGCACCAGTATCTACTAAGCTAAACCCACAGCCGACGTCAACTACGAGCCGTGAACAAAGAAATCTGGCAACGTAGGTGGTAGTGTTACTCCCGCCGCTGCTTGCTGCATCGACGCAACTCGTGCTCAAAACGCTGAGAAAACATAACCTTTTCAATTTGTGATTTGGGAATCGCAGAGGCTGTAATTAAGAGATAAGCTTGTTTTCTAAGCTTCAAAGTGTGTGTATGTGTTCAAAGTGATCGGTGACTATAATATATGAGAAACAGACTCCAGTTGTAGTGCTTCTGTGCTTTAAATTAAACTAAGAAGTGTGACTGTGGCTGTTCGCGCCTCAGGACGCTAAGGATTTCAACTATTGAAAACGTGCAAATTCAGGTTGTATTTTTCTTTTTTCATTTATCAACTGTTTGACGCAGACAATATGCCTCGTTGTTGCTGTGTTCCTTTATGCAATGCAAACTATAATTCTGCTTTGAAAACAGAAGTACCGAAAGTCTGAAAAACAAATGGCTTATGGCAATTCTCAGAAAAAATTGGACACCTTCAAAATATTCAGCTGTGTGCAGTCGTCATTTTAGAGAATCGGTTATCATCAGAACAGAAAATATAGTTTTGGCGGATGGAACAGTTCAAAATAATATACCTTTGAAATATCCAAAATTGAAAGAAAATGCTGTTCCCTCCATTTTCCCAAACTTGCCGTCATATCTTTCAAAAACTGAAGCACCCAAAAGAACTGACCCAATGCAAAGAAAACAAAAATTAATTGAGAAACATGAAAAAGCTATCCAGAATTTCGATGATATGGATAAGATCAAATACTTTCAAGAATTACATTCTTCATTTTCAAAAATCAAAGCCTCACAGAAATGGAATAATAAATTATCTGATGGAAAGCTATATTTTTATAAATTGGATTTTGAAAATGATATCTTAACTTTGAATACACAGATTATAGTTGATGGTCAGATGGAAGTTCAGGTTGTTCATAAAGGATGTAAGCTTTCTTTTAGTGACTTGAAGTGGGTTTTGCCATATGATCTCAAAATTACCAGATGGTCTCAATTAGAAAACCTGCTAAATAGGTATTATTTCTATTTTTCTGAGAACCAACACAAAAACTCTGTTGAAGTTTGCATCATGAATGCATTGGAACAACTTGACACAGCGATTTCCATAATTAATAATGACTCAGTTATGTTTCCATATACAAAAAATCTAGAGAAAATTCAAAACAGGAAAAACAGATATGCATCACTTTCAATAATAATGGCTTTTACGTTTTATAACCACTCATCATCAACATATAATTTAATTAAAAGATTTTTTATTTTGCCAAGTAAGCGATACTTGCGATACTTACAACATATCTCCTCAAGTATTGGATATATCTCCAAAAAATGATAGGAATAATGAACACTACCTTTCGAATATAGCAATTAAATTAGCTCCAAGAGAAAAAATTGTAATTTTGATGATCGATGAAATTTATATATACATCTAGGCTGGACTATCGCTAGTTGACGTCGGCTGTGCTAAACCATATTCACAAATATTTGCCGCGCGTGATGCAAGGTGAAATCTGGCAACACCACCGTGTTTGTCGGCCCCCCCTCCACCAATCCCAACAAGAAGCACCTGTTTGCGACGCTCAGTACCGGCCTGACAGCCATGCGCAGTGGAGCCCTTTATCGCCGTCACCGCCAGGTGCGAAATTCGTGCGGTGATCGCAAAAATGTTACCACCCATAGAAATTCATCACCAGTTGAATGCAGTATATGGAGAAACTTGTACAAGCATTCAACGTGTCCTCAAATGGTGGAGGAGGCCGTCGATCTCCGAAGAAGTTGTTGCGAAGAATGAGCAAATCTTGCTCGAAGATCCGAGAATCACAATCCGGGTGTAGGCGGTTCAAATTTCCAACTTTAATTGAGAAAAGCAGGCTTCACATAATACGTCTTCCATTATTGAAATTATTCGATTAATTTAGAACGCAGACTGTACCACCCGAGATCGCATGGCACGTATTGTGCGTGTCTTTTGCTCCGAATCAGTTCTCCCTCTCTCGTGTGCGCAATCCCAGTAAGTCCTCATATCTCTTCCTACACTTGACGAGCTATACAGGGTGTTTCAGTTTATTGTTGCATAATTTTAATATTCGATAGATCTTTTAAAATTAATGCATAAAGTCTATATAAACATGGGTCGAAAAATGCGTGGCTTCCGAAATACAGGGTGTTTAAATTTACTTTCTAAAATAGTTTTTTTTTAAATATTTCGAACAATATTTGATGTATAACAGTGAAAATTGGTATACAAGGGTTTTTTGGTACGACAAAACGAACCATAGTTTTACTGTAGCCGCTAGAGGGCGCTCTCTACTGTACCTGTAGTATATTAAAATGACCGAAAATTTTTTCTTAGTGCAATTTTTTGCTTTTTGAATAAAAAAACTGATTCTTCGCACTTTTCTGCATAAAAAAGCTCTCCTGTGAGTTTTCGTTATATTTAGCCGTTTTTGAGATATTTCGATTTTTAGGGTTCGATGCATTTTTAATTATTTATGGGAAAATAATATTTTTTTACATTTTCGATTTGGGCATTACAAGTAATTAAGATGATCGTTTAGATTGTGTTTTTAAACACAGCAATAATTCCTAACTCCAAATAAACACAAAAAACAGAATATTAATTTGTTTAATATTCCAATATTATTTTTAACAAATTAAATGAATTATTTACAACTAAAATGCTATTGATAGTTAGGACAAACATACAAAAAAAGTAATTGCTCGAAATGTAAACCCAATTGTTCAATACAATTCACATCTACGAATGATCGAACGTGGTAAGCATTATTCAAATAAGGCCTTATCTCATCACATGCATTCCTGATTCTGTCTATTAGCATATCTCTTGTAGTTACGGGAGTCTGGTACACTTTTTCTTTTAGAAATCCCCACACAAAGAAATCTAATAGATTTAGGTCAGGGGATCGTGGAGGCCAGGCCACTGGTCCTCCACGTCCGATCCATCTTTCTGGTTAATTTTCGTCCAGCCAGATTCTAACTATTCTCGAATAATGAGCTGGACAACCATCAAGCTGGAAATAGGCCAATCTTCTTAAATCTAACATAACATCATCCCACATATTTGCATGTTCGGCCTTTAAAAATTCCAAGAAGGTCGCAGCATTTAACCTTGCAGGCAAAAGGTAGGGTCCAAATAGTCGATTACGGTAGATACCAATACACACGTTCACACTAAATTCATGCTGAAAATTTCTTTCCCGAACTGCATGCGGATTTTCATGCGACCAAATATGTTGATTATGAAAATTTACCACTCCACGTCTAGTGAAGCATGACTCATCGGTCCATAAAACGTTACTTAAAGACTCCCTATTATTATCAGTTCTATCAAGAATCCACTGACAAAATGTGATTCTTCGTTCTCCGTCCCCTGGCTGTAGTCCTTGCACAGGTTGCAAATGGTAAGGACGTCTATGGTCATTTCTAAGAACACGGTGAACGTGGCTTGCTGAAATTCCCAAGGCACCAGAAACTCTCCTAACACTTGTGGTCGGATCTCTATCAAACTCACGCAGAATCATACGGGTAAATCTGCGCTGACGAACATTTATGTTTTGATCCCTTTGGAGATTTCCAAAACCATTTTCAATTATTTGACGATGTACTCTTACAAATACTGAGCGAGTTGGATGTCGTCTGTTTGGAAATCTTCGTGCGTATTCTCTGGCTGCTTCTGCTGCGTTTCCATTTACAAAGTCATACACAAAATGAATAACCGCTAACTCTTGATTGGAGAATAAAAATGGCATTTTTATAAAACTTACCAAAAAACAGGTAAAAGAAACTAAATTTCGTGCATTCACAATTGCAAAAAAACGTTTCAGGTTTTAACAGACAACAAAACTAACTGTCAACTAATTGACGTTTAACCTTATTCTGCTTTCAATTTCAAAAATATTTGCAGGCACAGCCTACTTCTAAAAATTATCGAGATACTGACTTTTTAACGTTATTTTATCATAAATAATTAAAAATGCATCGAACCTTGAAAATCGAAATATCTCAAAAACGGCTAACTATAACGAAAATTCACAAGAGAGCTTTTTTATGTTGAACAGTGCGAAAAATCAGTTTTTTTATTCAAAAAGCAAAAAATTGCACTAAGAAAAATTTTTCGGTCATTTTAATACACTACAGGTACAGTAGAGAGCGCCCTCTAGCGGCTGCAGTAAAACTATGCGCATGGTTCGTTTTGTCGTACCAAAAAACACTTGTATACCAATTTTCACTGTTATACATCAAATATTGTTCGAAATATTTAAAAAAAACTATTTTAGAAAGTAAATTTAAACACCCTGTATTTCGGAAGCCACGCATTTTTCGACCCATGTTTATATAGACTTTATGCATTAATTTTAAAAGTTCTATCGAATCTTAAAGTTGTGCAATAATAAACTAAAACACCCTGTATGTGTAACCATTTGCTTGAAAAAATGGTAGACTTGGGAGTCTAGGGGGAAGGGGGGCGCTCCCTCTAAATCCGCCCTTGGATCAGGAAAAAATGATGTTGTTGTCGGTATTTCTCCATCTTTTCATTATTTCAGCTAGAGACTGAGCTACGAAATTTATGGTTTTGCGTAGATATACTATTTCTCACCCACATAGTATTTCGAGACTAAATCAAATGCAGTAAAGTGGGCAAAAATAAATAAACAAACATATTTTTAGGCCTTTGCGAAGAGTACGACTGACTTCGTCAATACAACTACTGACGCAGGAGCAATACAAGACCTGATTGGATCATTGAGAGGGGGAACGATGCAAGGAGTAATGCGACTTATCAGTTATGTTATAGTGAGTATACAGAGTAGTCCATAGTGCATGAACGGATGCATGTGAAGGTAGCTCCAATAGCTGGCTTCACGATAATATGTGCTAGATTATAGGGAACAAGGTTCGGATCCGAAATGAATACACATATGCAACTAAAAAAGTAGATACACCTGCCCATGCATCCGGAAATGGGTGTAACCTGAGAAAACGAAGATGAAGAAGGAAGAAAACGCCACACGAAGTCACCAACAAGAGCCAACCTACACAATGTAGTATAATGGCCAGAAGAAAAAATAATGGGCAAAATCCGCAAAAAGAAGTACCACGACAAGTGGCTATAAACGGCCGCGTGGTTGTGGTTAAATGTCGCCTTGGAAGTTCGAGGTATTCTGGCCATTATGCTACAATATGTAGGTTGGCTCTTTTTGGTGACTTTGTGTGTCGTTTTGTTCCCTCTCCATCTTCGTTTCTTCATGTTACGCCCGTATCCGGATGTATGGGCATGTGTATCTACCTTTGTAGTTGCATAGGTGCATTCATTTCGAGCCAATAAGCAGGGTTACCTATCCTGTTTTCTGCTCGAATCCACTTTCCATCTTTTGTGGATTTTGCTCATTATTTTTCTATTTGCTCTACACCTTTCTCCGCGTGATCTTTTCTTTTTGTAGATCCTTTGGTCTATATCACAAAAAGTCGCTATAACCGGCCGCGTGGTTGTAGGTTAGATGTCGTCTTGAAAATTCGTGGTCTTTTGACCATTATACTATATATATACTAAGTGACATATAAATCCGAACACCCAGTTTAAATGGTTTTATTTTAATAAAAGTTGGTGAATGTATTTATCTTACTGTAAATAACAAGTGAAAAACTTTTCAGCCTAAAAGTTGGACATTCCGGTTTTTATATTGCTTTTTTTTAATTCACTAACGCTCTAAAAATGAATATTTCAGCCGCAGTAAAGAATCAACGTTGGCGGATTTTGGTTCTTGACATCCTTTACGATCGGTTACGATGCCTAGAGTACGGAGACCTGTACGATTTCGTCAACTTAGTGAGTTTGATAGGGGCCGTATAGTGGGACTTCGGGAAGCTGGACTTTCTTTTCGGGCAATTGCAGTTAGAGTGCAAAGAAGTGTAGACAGTGTGGTTAGGTGTTGTCAGGCATGGCTTCCAGAAGGCCGTACACAAAGAGCAAATGGCACTGGACGCCGCCGTAGAACAACAGACCGTGAAGATCGCCGCCTAAGATTATTGGCCTTAAGGGACCGTTTCTCCACTACCAGGTCCATTGCAAATGAATGGTTTGCAGAACACCGAAGACCTATTGGCATGCGAAGTGTTTACCGACGAATGAGAAGTTTTGGCTTGTTTTCATACCGGCCACACTGGGTCATCCCTTTAACTCGAGAACACCGACGTAATCTCCTTGAGTGGTGCAGACAACGGTCACTCTGGGATCAGGAATGGAACAGTATTGTCTTTAGTGACGAGTCTCGATTTTGTTTAGGCATGCACAGTTTTTTGTTGAAAGACATGTTCATCACACTGTTGGAGTTATGGTTTGGGGTGCTATAGCTTATGGTTCCAGGTCACCTTTAATCTTCATCAGAGGTAACATGAACGCGCAGCGTTATATCCACGAAGTTCTAGAACCCCATCTTTTACCCTATCTTGACACCCTGGCAGATCCAACTTTCCAACAAGATAATGCCCGACCACATGTTGCAAGAGTCACAATAGACTTCTTTCAACATAATGATGTCACATTGTTACCATGGCCACCAAGATCTCCCGACATCCCCAATTGAACACGTGTGGGATGTGATGGGTAGGAGATTGCTCAATTTGCAACGTCCTCCTCAGACTCTAGAAGCACTTCGAGAAGAGTTGGTGGTTACCTGGAATGAGATACCACAGGAGGACATTGACCACCTGATCAGAAGCATGCCTAGGCGCGTTGGAGAATGCGTAGCACATCAGGGTGCATCCACACATTATTAAAGGTCAAAGGGCTTTAAAGCAGTGCAATCATTTTGAAATTTTTAGTACTTATACAAAATTTTATTAAAATAAAACCATTTAAACTGGGTGTTCGGATTTATATGTCACTTAGTATATAAATGTGTGTATGTTTGTGAGTTTGTATGTTCCGTTTTCACGCCAAAACGGCTGAACCAATTCCGATGCATTTTGGAACAGATATAGATTAGACCTTGGAGATGAAGGGGTTGAAATGGGGGTAAATGTGACCATGTGCATCAAGAAACTATTATTATTTTAGTTCGTGATATAAATATTGGTTTTTATATATATTTGGTTCATACATATAAATTAAATGAGCACTGACAAAGCAATTTTAGAAATTCCACCCCCAAGCAAGGGTTGAAGCGAGGTAACGCCCTTTGTACTGAGGAAAATAAGCTATTTCAAATAGCCCAGAGGTAGGGGGTATCTTTTGTTTATAATTTTATCTATAAAATAAACTGACATTAACAAAGGCTTCCATAAATGATATCCTCGAGATGGGGAAGGGAGGGGGGTGAATATTTCTTATCAGCTTTTTGATTTCTTGTCACCGTTTTGATAAATTTATCTCGAGAACTAAGACATACATATGTATATAATATATATTTTCAAAGAATTTCAAAATTTCAGAATTTAAAAAATTTTTAGAATCTTCAAAATTTAAAAAATTTGTAAGATTCTTAAAATTTTACAAATTTAAAACCTCAAAATTTTAAAAATTTTCATGATTTTCGAAAGTTTAGAAATTTTCAAAATTTATCAAGCTTCAAAATCATCAAAATTCTAGAAATTTTCAAAAATTTTTCGATTTATAAAATGTTCTAAATTATTATCACACGCGTGGCAACACGGTAACTAGTCAGCATGGCGAACGACGCACCTGTCTTAAATAGGGCCAATAATCTTCCGCCGAGGGCGTGGTCAGCGGGAGGCGTGGTTATGCCAAAATATTTGTCAAATTACAACTCAAAAACCGTTTGAGCAAATGAGTTGATTTTTTCTTTGATGGCTTGTTCTTTCAGTTCTTTATGTCTTTTATCCACATACTTTCAAAAAATCGTTTTCCTTCAAAAGAAAAAGAAAATTTTTATGCGAAAAATAAATTATATGTAGAAAATGAGCAATAAAGGACGTTCCTTTATCGATTTATAATGCAATCACTTAATTTCATGTCTTTACGATTATTTGTTTCGAAGCTGGGACTGTAAAAAAATTGGCAAAAAAAGTTGTCATTTTGACAAAAAAACGTGAGATTATCATAAATCAGTCATTTTTATACACACCCTGAAATAATCAGACAATAAGTGCTCATAATACTGCTCCAAACGCACAGTTGAAAAAAAGGGGCGTGCGACCTTAAGGCCAATTATCTTAGGCGGCGATCTTCACGGTCTGTTGTTCTACGGCGACGTCCAGTGCCCCTTGCTCTTTGCGTACAGCCTTCTCGAAGCCATGCCTGACAACACCTAACCACAGTGTCTACACTTCTTTGCACTCTAACTGCAATTGCCCGAACAGAAAGTCCAGCTTTGCCCGAAGTCCCACTATACGGCCCCTATCAAACTCACTAAGTTGACGAAATCGTACAGGTTTCCGTACTCTAGGCATCGTAACCGATCGTAAAGGATGTCAAGAACCAAAATCCGCCAACGTTGATTCTTTACTGCGGCTCAAATATTCATTTTTAGAGCGTTAGTGAATTAAAAAAAGCAGTATAAAAACCGAAATGTCCAACTGATAAGGCTGAAAATTTTTTCACTTGTTATTTACAGTAAGATAAATACATTCACCAACTTTTATTAAAATAAAACCATTTAAACTGGGTGTTCGGATTTATATGTCACTTAGTATATTATACGAAAAATTTGTGTAATTATGTGATATAATCATATACTTAATAATAATTAAGAACATATCAAAATATATCAGTATGTATTGTAATGACGATGTTTGGTATGGGTAAATACCCGCGCACAGGCAAGTGCCTTCTACGGGTACTCTATGTTTATTTGTTTTGTTCGAGACTTATTGTATTTTACAAATAAACATTGTTATTATTATTATTATCCATAAAATCGATATTTTGTTTATACAGAAATCGAAATTAAAAACTCAAAACACAACTGCAAAGCAAAGCTGTCAAGCATTTATTACCTTTGTCGTGCAATCCTGTTAAGCTAGAGTATAAACCGCAGAATTCTTCGGCTCAACATATCCATCGCTTAAGCGCCGCTTTAAATGCTAAGCATGCTAGGAACATAAAATGTCATGTTTGCGCTCGTATTTCTACCATCTATACCCAAAACCTAGGGTCCAAAATAATTTGTTTTCATAAAAAATGGCTAGTGTAGCCAAGCTAGAATTTTACCATAGTTTATTCCAAGAGTTTTTGTAGAGTCTTTTATTGTGAAACTTGTGCATCATATGCTATTCGATTGCATGATGGGAGAATTTTACCATTTTACCTTCCAATCTGCAAGATGCTGTATTATAACGGTAAATTTTATTTAAGGGGAATCTCGATGGCAACAACGCTCTGACAATGGAAGAGAACACAATAGCTAAACAGGGCGTCCGCCTCTTAATCGACTTCGGATTAAACATACTGGCAAAATGGCTTGAAGTACAGGTACGTCGTCGTAATAACCGTTCTCATAATATTGGTGACTACTATCTCAAAGAATATAATTTCGTTATAAAATCCGTCTACACAGGGTGACTTCGAAGTTGAGTCATTTATTTTAACAGTGAGTAGATCTGATCAAAAGAAATGTTTTTTCCTTTACCATTTTTCTGTTAAAATTAAAGTAACAAAGTTATAGCCCTTTGGAAGTTTGAGTACCGCCCTGTCTCAATAATAATATTATGTGCTCGTGTTTGGCAACAACGGATATAATCCGCCTTATCGGTTCATCGCATCGGAAACAAAAAAGCGAAAGAATTTGGAACGATGTTTTTACAATTATTTTATTCAGTTGTATACAGTCAGTGTCAGTCGGTAACGCGTGAGTGAATAGTGGTGTCTGTTGCGTGGCTCAAACGAAATAAAAAATGGCACATGTTTACGAAAATGCTGAACTTGTGGACATGATTCTTATTTACGGGGGGGGAGTCTTTACAAAACGCTGCCGCGGCATCACGGATTTATGCGGATCGGTTTCCCAATCGAGTGCAACCAACCCCTCGTGCCTTTGTTAATGTAGTACAAAGGGCTCGTGAATCAGGTGACTTAAGACCTCACAGGGGAGAGCATGCCGATGCTCCAAGACCGCACGATCAAATACAGGTCCGCACTGAAATACTTGTCGGGAGGATACTTTATAAAACAAGGTAACATTTTTTTATTTTTTTTTTATTTTTACACACATATTTTGGTTTATCTTCCTTCTACAATCATTATCTGAAAATTAATGACTCAACTTCAAAGTATGCATGGCACAGTTAAAATTTTTTGGTCGATAAATGTCGTCTTGCAACACTGTCTGAAATATAAGTTTGCTATTATTCTCAAGCATCGTCTCTGAACAGGGTAGAGCTGCTCGTCTGCACATGACTTCTTATGATGTTTGCCAGTGATTTGCGAAAACTATTTTTTACTACTAAAAACTTCACTGAATAGTTGGGGTTATTTTTAATATAACAAGTTATTTTGTTTTCCAATAGAACTGCTAAGGCTTCATCTACAGGCTCGGACTTTAGAAGAATTACTAGATTTGTAAATTTACCCAGTGGTAATACATTTCTAAGAAAACTGTTCAATGTTTTGTGGTTGCTTATGTTTTTTGTGCTGAAAACAATAATTACATAGTCACTTTGTCCATGATCCATAATTTGAGTGAAAATATTACTTGTGATATTTGCAGCCTCTGTGTTGGGCTTAACAATTCCTTCAACTATATAGCCTATGCTCTTCATTGAATTATGTAAGACTCTAGCGCAGTTTCTGGCCAATTGATCTCCCACAATGAGCAGTTTCTTGGAAGTCTTCGCACTGTTCCTGGATTGTTTAAAAAGTTCATCATACAAAGATACATTTTCCTCAGTCGTCCTCAGCTGTTTATCCCTATTGTCTAATATATTCTGTTGATCGTTGGCATTTCCTTCAGTGTTCTCCGACAATCGACACCTGTCTTCTTTTGCTCTTTCTTCTAATTCGCCTATTTTCCTTGAGTATGCATTGTTTGTTTCTTCCAAAAGACTAATGGTTTTCAGCATATCGGCATGAATATTTTTTAGCTTCGTCATCTCTGTTTGCATGTCTTTTGTCATTTGTTCATAACTGTCCATCTGTTTCTAAAGGTTTTTGTTCTTCTCCACTGCGTCGACTATTTCTTTTTGTAGTGTACACATTCTTTCTTTTTGGTTTTTCAATTGGTCTTTAAAAGAATTTTGCTCCTCTATGAAACTTTGTTCAGATTCAAAAACATCTTCTTCAAAATCCTTGGCCTTCTTCATTAATCTAATTATATGTTTCTCTTTATCTTGTATCTCGTCCTTTAATGAGTTAATTTCTGTAGTGTAAGAATCGTAGTTTCGATGCTCGTTATCCTCCGATGCACAGGCAGCAGAACAATATACTCTGTTATTTGAGAGCTTTACAATTGAACTCAATCTATTTGCACAGCTCGCGTGAAAAATTGCATGGCATGATATGCAAAAATAAGAAAGAGCTTCTTTTGTTTTGCAACATTTGAACCTAGCTACCATTTTCAACCGGATACGGGGCTGTTTGTTTTCTTATTTATTATCTTGTCTTTCGTAAATATATGGTGATTAGGAATATACTCACTGGTCGTTTTTGTCGATTTTTCTCGTGCTGTTTTTTGTGTACTTATTTGCGCTTTGTAATTAATCCTCAAAATCAGTGTTTCCGAGTTGCAGTTTTTCAGCGTATAATTTATAAAAATTGCTCACATGTGGATGCAGCACTGGTTCAAATTTGAAAATTGTCTTTCAAAAATAACCCACTATAGTAAGCAAAAACAGACACGACGATAAAAGAATAATAATAAAATGTATTATACTATTTAGATTTCCGGACGAAAATTCACTCCATTCTTGGAACATCAATGATAAAATTTGTCCCACGAACATTTGCGGGATTAACAGCAACATTGATGCTGTTCATCACTACCTGCAATCTAATCGTCCCACCATGCTTTTGTTGCCGCAGCAGCCTTTTCTGCTCCAGTGACGATCTGTGGCTTAGCCTCAATTCCAAAACATCATCCAAATGTATTTGCTGCCTTTTTCGCTCTCCCTCAGACCATAACTGGGATAAACTACTTGAATATTTCGCAGGCAAGATTGTCTTTTTGAACATCAGTAGTAGACGTAGTTCTTCTCGTTCTCCTCCCCTTCAATGCCCATAATGAGCTCTAGTTGGCACAAAAAGGGATCTAAGACCGATCCTTACAACTACAGGACTATAGCTCTGCTTTCCGTTATAAGTTTGGAATGGAGAGATGCATAAAGTGTGAGCTTCCGGACTACCTCGGACATCATGGTTTGGTTACCGACATTCAGTATGGTCTCCGGCACCAGCGATCCACAGGAGTCTTCCTAGCTTACATCACGCAATTTTGGAGTAAACTCATCCAGTCTTATGGTATCATGTCGCGTCCCAGAGAAGCTTTGCAGATGGATGGCTGAGTTTCTCTCTAGCCCAACGATATCCGTCGTAATTGGCGGATTCTCCTGTTTATACTACAACATCAACACGGGCGTTCCAACGGTCTTGGCTCCGACACTATTCCTCTTACATATCAACGACCTCCTTTTCTGTACGATCAATCCAATCCACAGCTTTGCTGATAACAACACTCTACTGACTTCCTGCAGTCAGAGCGAAAAGCCGATCTCTGCCGGTGAGCTGGGAAAAGGAAGACCAGCAGCGCCTTCCTCTCTGGCGGAAGACCTGGGGGTTATCTCTACTTGGGGACCCAACAATTTTGTACAATTTAATACTGCTTCCAAGACACAGTACTATACCCTGACGGACAAGAAGCGTCCTAACGCTCATCCTGTTTCCATGGATGACCAAGTTCTGACAAAGAGCCGTTCATTTCGGCTGATCGCAGCCAAGATCACTGAGGTCTTGATATTGCACGAATACATCTCGTCAATAGCGGCAGCTGCCTTGGAAAAAGCTCGGCTATTTGTTAGGGCTACCTACCTGCACATGACCTCCTTACTCTGTACAAAGGCCCAGACTTATCTGGACCTAGCCTCAAGTATTGATCTCATGACTCTCCTCTAAAAGACAGTCTCGGGACCCTTTCGCATCAGCAGTCCGTCGGCGATCTAGCTCTCTTCTACCGCTACACCAACAGACTTTGCTACTCAGACCTCTCCTCCATGATGTAGTCGCGGCTGCTTCGGTGTAAAAAAAACTTGCTGCTTACCGCATTTCCTGATTATACGAGGGAATATCTAAAAATGTATGATTAGAGACTTTGATCTCAAGTGCTTGTCAATTACATGATGTTACAGTGAATTTTGCGTAAGTAGACACTACGTTAGGACTTGTTACTGCAAGTTATTTCCATAAAAGATTGAGCTTACCTTTTGATGTGCTATTGCTTTTCACTCTTAAATTAATAAGTGATTATTAGTTATTCATTACAATGCTACTCTAGGTCAAATTTCCAGAATCGCCGAGGACATCAAAGTTGTTGCGTTCTCAGTAGTTTAAAAACTGCACATGTTGATATTCCTATACGAGGGTGACGCTAGAGGTACATAAAAGAAAGTTGGAGAAATTTAAGGATTTTGATTTTGTCAAGGGCTTTAAAAAGTATAACCAGATATTTAGGTATGCGAAAGACAATTTTCACTAGATCTGCATCCCTTCTGGATATGAACTACGAAGGTAACAAAGAAGTATACTAAGTGACATATAAATACGAACACCCAGTTTAAATGGTTTTATTTTAATAAAATTTTGTATAAGTACTTGATGAAGCATAATAAGTAAGTGATAAAAATTTCAAAATGATTGCACTGCTTTAAAGCCCTTTGACCTTTAATAATGTGTGGATGCACCCTGATGTGCTACGCATTCTCCAACGCGCCTAGGCAAGCTTCTGATCAGGTGGTCAATGTCCTCCTGTGGTATCTCATTCCAGGCAACCACCAACTCCTCTCGAAGTGCTTCTAGAGTCTGAGGAGGACGTTGCAAATTGAGCAATCTCCTACCCATCATATCTCACACGTGCTCAATTGGGGATAAGTCGGGAGATCTTGGTGGCCATGGTAACAATGTGACATCATTATGTTGAAAGAAGTCTATTGTGACTCTTGCAACATGTGGTCGGGCATTATCTTGTTGGAAAGTTGGATCTTCCAGGGTGTCAAGATAGGGTAAAAGATGGGGTTCTAGAACTTCGTGGATATAACGCTGAGCGTTCATGTTACCTCTGATGAAGATTAAAGGTGACCTGGAACCATAAGCTATAGCATCCCAAACCATAACTCCAACAGTGTGATGAACATGTCTTTCAACAAAAAACTGTGGATTCCTCCTTTCACCAGGTCGCCTTCTAACCCTGGCGCGACCCTCGTGCATGCCTAAACAAAATCAGACAATACTGTTCCATTCCTGATCCCAGAGTGACCGTTGTCTGCACCACTCAAGGCGATTACGTCGGTGTTCTCGAGTTAAAGGGAGGACCCAGTGTGGCCGGTATGAAAACAAGCCAAAACTTCTCATTCGTCGGTAAACACTTCGCATGCCAATAGGTCTTCCGTGCTCTGCAAACCATTCATTTGCAATGGACCTGGTAGTGGAGAAACGGGCCCTTAAGGCCAATAATCTTAGGCGGCGATCTTCACGGTCTGTTGTTCTACGGCGGCGTCCAGTGCCCCTTGCTCTTTGCGTACCGCCTTCTCGAAGCCATGCCTGACAACACCTAACCACAGTGTCTACACTTCTTTGCACTCTAACGTCAATTGCCCGAAAAGAAAGTCCAGCTTCCCGAAGTCCCACTATACGGCCAATATCAAACTCACTAAGTTGACGAAATCGTACAGGTCTCCGTACTCTAGGCATCGTAACCGATCGTAAAGGATGTCAAGAACCAAAATCCGCCAACGTTGATTCTTTACTGCGGCTGAAATATTCATTTTTAGAGCATTAGTGAATTAAAAAAAAGCAGTATAAAAACCGGAATGTCCAACTGATAAGGCTGAAAATTTTTTCACTTGTTATTTACAGTAAGATAAATACATTCACCAACTTTTATTAAAATAAAACCATTTAAACTGGGTGTTCAGATTTATATGTCACTTAGTATATAATGCTCGTGGTGAAACAACGTATGATCAATTTATTTATTTATAAATTATTTTGTTTTTTTTTTCAGCCACACTATCCGTTATTTGGGAACTCATCTGCAATTTTTAGAGACTACATCCTAAGGAATAAGAATAATATACTGACTGTTATCGATAATTCTTGCATACCGCTAGAATTGATAGGATCAACCGTAGACACGCTATTCAGACTAGGTACGACAGAAAAGAATATTTTAATTTACCTATTCGGATTGAGGTACTCGTACTATCTGACGTGGTAGTGTATAACAAAAGATAAACTAAAATCGTGGGCATGTTCGCAATAAAGGAATAGGAGCAGTAATGGGTACCGCTACTGAGCGGGGCCGTGGCAAATGCTTGTTCCAGAACTTGTTGTATTCAGCATATGAATTTTTCACGTTCAAGTGATTGTACACGCGTTAAGGAATATCTCAGTACCGATTACCGGGTGGCGGTGCCAGTCTGCCAACGGGCCACTTTTAGCTCTATCTAACATCATTAACATGGAGGTAGTTCTGCTCGGTGGTTTCAATGCCCATAATGAGCTTTGATTGGGCTCAAACAAGACCGTTGCAGCAGGTTGTGCAGTTGAAGCGTTCGCTATTACTCAAGGGCTGACCCAGCAGGTGATGAGTCCTACTTTTTTCCTCGCGTTTTTTCACATGTCAGTAGCCCACTGTAGAGAACAGACAAGCCGACGTCGATTCCAGAAACAAATATAACGATAGTAGCCTTCCAGCACTTACGTGTCATACCGGAACGATTGTAACCGACTCAAAGGCTAAGGCGGTGGATGTGCTTGTCAAGAGCTTTGCTGCCAACTCCACCATGGATGTCCGCAACCCCCCCCCCCCCGTCGCCCAAGTTCCGTCGATTCAAAGTGTTCCCTACACTATGCGAGAAGTAACAATCAGGCATAAGACCGTAAGACGGGTGCTCTCGTCGCTCATCATCAACAAAGCTTCTGGTCAGGACTTGATTCCTGCCATTGTATTAAAGAGGTCTGCTGCGGAGCTTACTCCAGTTCTTCCGCGTCTCTTCCAGATATCTTACAAATCCGGCACCTTCCCATAAAACTGGACATTTGCTCATGTCTAATCCATCCCCAAAAGAAGGATCTTAGGCCCGTATCGGCAGTCGTCCCTACAATTGTAGGGCGCCTTTATGGCCTCCTTGATTGTCTGATAGTTTTCTACTTCTCCGTGTCAGCGCTCTATTTTGAGGTTATGTCACAAACATCTATTTGCATAAAATTGTGCTTGCTTTTGAGTTATATCATGTTTAATCAGCCTGAAATCTCCTACAATTTAAAAAGAAAATATATCTTCACAATAGGAGAGCGCTGACGCTGACACGGGACAAGTGTATCTAGAAATTTTTGAAGGAGAGAAAGGAGTATGACAATCAAGGAGGCCATAAACGCGCCCTACAATTGTAGGGACGACTGACGATACGGGCCTAAGACCGACCCTTACAACTCTGATAAGAGAAAAAATGATGAAATCTGGTAGGAATTTTCAATAGTTGATCGTTTTAAAATCTCCAAATTTCTTCCACAATCAATCAACGTTTAATTAAAAAAACCTTTCAAAATGATTAATAATAAAATAATTCCGTCGTAATCGAACCTCATCAGTCCAGTTTTTTATTCGTCGACTATGTGTTCCCTTCACTGTTGTTTAAAAACAATTTCAGCAACAATCTTGTCGACTCCAGACGATGAAGACATAGATCTTCGAAAGCTTGAGAGTTTAAGTTATAAGACTGTACTTTTTCAATACTCTGCCTGCTACCCAAAGAAATTAAAGGGTATCTTCTCCTAACAGTTAAGGCAATTAACTATGAATACTATATATATATATATATATATATATATACAGGGTGTTTCAGTTTATTGTTGCATAACATAATAAGGCCTTATTTGAATAATGCTATACCACGTTCGATCATTCGTAGATGTGAATTGTGTATTGAACAATTGGGTTTACATTTCGAGCAACTACTTTAGATTTTGTATGTTTGTCCTAACTATCCTATAGCATTTTAGTTGTAAATAATCTATTTAATTTGTTAAAAATAATATTGGAAAATTAAACAAATTAATATTCTGTTTTTTGTGTTTATTTGGAGTTAGGAATTATTGCTGTGATTAAAAACACAATCTAAACGATCATTAAAAATGCATCGAACCTTAAAAATCGAAATATCTCAAAAACGGCTAACTACAACGAAAACTCACAGGAGAGATTTTTTATGCAGAAAAGTGAGAAGAATCAGTTTTTTTATTCAAAAAGCAAAAAATTGCACTAAGAAAAAATTTTCGGTCCTTTTAATACACTACAGGAACAGTAGAGAGCGCCCTCTAGCGGCTACAGTAAAACTATGCCCAAGGTTCGTTTTGTCGTACCAATAAATCCTTGTATACCAATTTTCACTGTTATACATCAAATATTGTTCGAAATATTTAAAAAAAACTATTTTAAAAAGTAAATTTAAATACCCTGTATTTCGGAAGCCACGCATTTTTCGACCCATGTTTATATAGACTTTATGCATTAATTTTAAAAGTTCTATCGAATCTTAAAGTTATGCAACAATAAACTGAAACACCCTGTATATATATATAGGTACAGGGTGTCCGCAAAGTTGGGGTTTTCCTTTTCAGAAACAACTACCCTTGAAATAACAAAGGTAATGTGTAGTGAAACGAGGGCGACCAAGTATAAAAAAAATAAAGGAAAAAGTACTCACTCTCCAGTTGACGAGAATGGCTAAGTACGTCTCTGCCCGAAATCATACCGCTCCAACAGAAAATGAAATCAGCTGATGCGCTACCGAGCAGACGCAGGCAAACAAGGAAGGCAAAATGTTGCGTAAAAAGTCTAGGTCTAGGTTCACCATGCCAGCCCAAACATTCACCGAATATGTTTGTTGAAAATGTGCCCGACGGACAGCGTGCGGATTTTCTACTGATCAAACATGAGTGTTGCGAAAGTTATTCACCCCATTCCGCGTGAACGTAGATTCGTCTGTCACCAATATGCACTTCAAAAAGTCCGGATTATTGTCATATTGATGCAACAACCACTCACAAAACCGCACTCTTGCTGGAAAATCGTCAGGTTGAAGGGCTTGTACACGTTGGACGTGAAAAGGATACAGCCCCTCTTCACGCAGCGTTTGCCACACTTTAGTTTTTGATACTTGCATTTCTCTAGTGCTTGTTGAGGGATTCACGTCTACGCGATTATCTCTACACCCGTGACCGTAACCGTCGGTTGAAGGTTGCATACTGACCTGACACACTGACCCCGACCCAGTTCTGTCGTCGGGTTGAGCTAGTGTCCTAGTACCACTGGGGAATGTCGCGCCTACAGGACGGTATTCAGATATTTTTGATGTTGCAGAGCCCTTTATCTCGGTTCCCTTAAGACATTGGTGTATATGGTACTAAGAAAAAATTGCTTATGTTTTCAAGATCTACACGTCGTGTAAAGGAAAACCCCAACATATATATATAGTATATGTTTGTTACGATTATAAACTGTTTGAGTTACCTACTGCAATGGCAGGCTTTTCCTGTTGACTTATTTTAGCACAGTACCCTTCGTAATTCTTTGCGTCGTCAAAGTGCAAACACATCTCAACATGGTCAAGCCGAGGGCACAGATCCTTAAGTATAGGTCGTTGTTCCCCGAAGGGTATAAAACGAGTAGTTCAGATCTTGCCTAGGCTTGAACCAATAAGTCGTTGACGACTTCGGTTGAGAAGACACTGAAGGACATTGCGCGAGTCACCGTGTCTACCTGGAGATCAGTGAGGGAATCCAAGAGCCGCGCTAAGACAAGCCTAGGCAAGACGTGAAATATTCGTTTTTATACCCTTTGGGGAAAAACAAGGTACTATACAGGGTGACTTCGAAGTTGAGTCATTTATTTTAACAGTGAGTAGATCTGATCAAAAGAAATGTTTTTTCCTTTACCATTTTTCTGGTAAAATTAAAGTAACAAAGTTATAGCCCTTTGGAAGTTTGAGTACCGCCCTGTCTCAATAATAATATTATGTGCTCGTGTTTGGCGACAACGGATATAATTCGCCTTATCGGTTCATCGCATCGGAAACAAAAAAGCGAAAGAATTTGGAACGATGTTTTTACAATTATTTTATTCAGTTGTATACAGTCAGTGTCAGTCGGTAGTGGATAGTGATGTCTGTTGCGTGGCTCAAATGAAATAAAAAATGGCACATGTTTATGCGGATCGGTTTCCCAATCGAGTGCAACCAACCCCTCGTGCCTTTGTTAATGTAGTACAACGGGTTCGTGAATCATTTGACTTAAGACCTCACATATGGACGGCATGCCGGTGCTCCAAGACCTCACGATCAAATACAGGTCCGCACTGAAATACTTGTCGGGAGGATACTTTATAAAACAAGGTACTTTTTTTTTTTATTTTTACACACATATTTTGGTTTATCTTCCTTCTACAATCATTATCTGAAAATTAATGACTCAACTTCAAAGTCACCCTGTATATTGCTCAAATAATGCTGCGGTGAGTTGGGATTACTCTCATAAATTACTACAAACAATTTTCACTCACTTGAGCGTATTTTCAAAGTAGTTAGCGCGGTTTAATGATTTTATACGCATATGACAAAAATGTCACAAGAGAAGCGAAGCATCTAAGATTGAATGCCTTATTCAAATATTCATAAAAATTAGCGGCGCAAAAAATGATTGGCTTAAAGCTGCTAGTATGGTATCAAACATCGTATGCACTGACTGTGCTGTTAGTATTACGTGTACAAAATTTTAATCAACTCCGAATTTCGAAATTTTAACTTCAACACCCTATGTTTCGACAAGGGGTCATATTTGGACACCTTGTACCAAAATCGTGGCGCCATTGATTGACTTTTTTTTTGCCCGAAAATACTTTGCCGTCATCTATGAGACATGACATAGCTATATCTCTCCTATATTTCTCCTCTCGGCAATAATTAGAAATAGAAATCTATTTTGATAAGATTAGTATCTCAAAGATGGCGCTGTAGCTAATGAGACACTAATTTTCGGTATCTCATTTCATCTCGTCAAGCATTCTTGAAGATATCACTTTTACAATAACTTAGACATTAGCAGATTTTGATTATACACTAACTAAATAGTAAATGTCTATTTTTCAGTTCCAGCAGTAACAATCCAAAACCTTCAAAAAAACGGTAGTACCAAATGAGAAACCCAGGGAACTGAACAAGCTGCTACTTCCTGTTCAAACTTACAAAAATAGGCATATAGTATAATACAATATGGTTTTTATCTATATCTGCTATGCTATGCATTTTACTACGGAATTGGAAAATCTGACGGAGAGTTAATTTTAGTGTTGGCAATACATTAGGTAGGCATCTGTAAGCAACACGAATATGTACAAAGGATGGAGTAATGTTCTTGTTTATCATGATTAAATAATAACGTAAATGATTTCCGCACTGGTTACCGTCAACCTGAGGAAGTATGCTGACATGTGCAAATTCGTGTATTTCACGGTGACTAAAGGCCGTATCGTCAGTCGTTTCCACAATTGTAGGACACCGTTATGGCCTTCTCGATTTTCATAGTACTTTCGCACCTTCAGAAAGGCAGGGGTATTTCCAGATTTCTACTGTTCCGTGTCAGCGTCTGCGCTCGCCTATTGTAAGGTTATGTTTTCTTGTTGAATTGTATGAAATTTCAGGCTGATAAAACGGATGATAAAAATCAAAAGCATGAACAGTTTGCTGCCAATAGGCAGGAAAAACTATGAAAATCAAGGAGGCGACAATTGTAGGAACGACTGACGATACGGCCCTAATATAGAGCTTTACCTCTTGCCAAACAGGTATTTCATTACCCGACACGTGTTTCGCTATGTTAGACTCTTGGGAGGAAGGTTAAAACTAATATCTACAGTATATTCAGATAAGAGATAGACCGATAAACAAGACCACGTGATCATCGAACGCTGTAACATTCGGCAGGGACGTATTAAGAGTCACGCAGTACATATTTTAGATAGTAGATGCTGCTTTGCGTAACTTTGTAGTAAATTAGCACAATTCGATGTGTATACGATTGGTGATGGATATAGGATCATGTGGGGGTGGGGTAAGAAATATATAATGATGTAAATATACATAAGGGTTTCAAAATTTTCGCTTCGATTTCCAGCTTCGGATGCCGCCTGATGTTTGGTGAAATACAGTCGAATATAATCTCAAAATGGCGTTTAAATTAGCCTAAATTAAAAATAATCGTATATCTCTTAAAATTGCTTTTAGAATATTGATTAGTATATTTTTTGATTTCTAGGTAAATATGTAACCAAATTAAAACGTTTAAAACGTAAAAAAATGTGCATGGTTGAACATTGTCAGAAAGTAGATTCTTGAATAGGTTTTGCCAAAATGGGTTCAAAAATGTCAATAATTAATTAAAAAATACAGTAGCTTTATAATTACTTATAACTTACCGAATTTGATGAACGACATCTTTTATTGGAAAGATGAGCTTGATGAGCTTTCATCATCGCTACTGCCTGAAGCACCAACGTCAATAATGAATGGCTCGACTTGTTCCTCTAAAATATTGTCCAGTTCCCACATTCTCTTTTCAACTTTGTCTTTCACGTGCTTAATACAGTTTTCCCATTTTTGCGCTGTTATTAATTCTAGTGCTTCTTTGAAAAGTCCTTTGAGGTCACAAAATTTAAAAGTTGTATTGTGCTTAGCTGTATAATTTTTAACCTCTGCCCATATGAGCTCAATGGGATTGAGCTCGCAATGGTATGGAGGTAAATGGAGTACAGTTTTATTTTGACTTGCTGCCATTTCGTATTTTTGATATTCCGCCTTGTGATCCTTGACAATTCTTAATAATTGTACTTTCAGCATTGCTTCTTCAAAATTGATATTTTTCGAGCGGAGCCAATTTTGAACATCAACTTTCCTTGAAGCCGTTGTTGGGACCTTCTCCATTCTTCGAGAATGATAAGGCGCATTATCCAACACAATTACTGCGTTTTCCTCTAAGTTCGGTAAAATTTTTGAAAACCACTGTTCAAACGATTCGCCATTCATTTCCTCGTGGTAATCTCCAGTTTTCTTAGACTCAAAGCACCACAGACCGTCAACAACAAATCCATCCTCACTGCCAATATGGCAGATAATGAGCCTTTTCCCTTTACCTGGAAATCGAAGTACTAACTGGTGTAGATTTATTTCAATAAGCGAACCTTTTTCAAATGTTTTCATCACATTCAGCGAAAAAACATTGAGACATGAGTATCAGATTGCTATAATTGGGATTATTTAATCATATTGAAAGAAAGAATATTGAACGTCGTATGATTACTCAGCGCTTCACAATTCAATTTAAAGTTATAAACCTTTAAAAAATGAATGATCAGGAACCTGAAATACGCGCAAATATTAATATTAACAAATTATAACTTTATAAAGCTTAAAGTATGAATTAAAATGATTAGAAATATTAGGAACGGAACACAATATAAAACTTAGTAACTTTTTTTAAGTTTATAATATTCGACATATTTTAAGATTATATTAAAAAATTATTGAAATATCGAAAACACATAAAAACATGGCTTAAAAAAGTTCTAACAAATTAAAATGACAATAAAACATCCACGCATTTTATCGAAAGTTATAAAAGTTTTGTTACTTGTAATATGTTTTATCTGCCCCCTGGAATTAATGTTTAGAACCTTGTTCCCAAGGTTTGAAAAACATCCGATTGTTGTCTATTACTCGTATTTACCTGCTGGATTTTTTAATCCGGTGGACAGTCCATCTAGAAAGGCCCTCCTGGATGAAGTTACAGAATCATCAACCCATACTTTACTTGTAGTGTGTCCTGCGTTTACCCACGTTTCATCAAGGTAATAAATCTTCCTGTTTTGATTTCTATATTTCCCAATTTTTGTTAAATAATCCCTCCTCCATAGCACAATTTCTTCTCTATCCAGTAGTAAACTATTACGACCCCGTTTTTTCCATTTGAAATTTAAATGCTTCAGTAACGCATGGAAAGTTGATCGTTTGAAATTTGGCAACGTTGTATCTCCATTTACCTCCTGCAGTACTTTATCTATAGTAGGTGTTTCATTCCTAAAGAAGAATTCATGCACTTTCCTCCTAATCGCATGCTTATCAGCTTCATCCAATGATTTAACAATGCTTTTGCGATGTTTACTGGTCATTGGCTCAGAAAAGGTGTGACTTTTTTTGTATTGTCTTAACACATTAAACACTGATGCGCGACACACCCCAACTTTGTGAGAAACCTTCACAACAATTTCTTTGATGGTTGATGCCTCGTTCTCCTCGCGCTCGATCTTATATATATTCAAAATGACCTCTTTCATTTCTGCACTCAGGTGTCTTTTTTTAGAGCGTTTCCTAGGTGGACTACAGGAGTTTACAACTTCATCGGCAGTATCTGTACTACTGGGCATTTTGCGCAAGCAGTTGATAACAATAACAATCAATAACAAGGTATAACAATAACAACGACAAACTCAACAACTTAATAAGATAACAAACGAAAACGTCCAAAGAAATATCAAATTGCAATGATGCACACGACATACGTAACACGTCTGAACCTGAATGTGACTCTGCCTTGATACGACTGCTCTGCCGCTCGGCATAGGCATTTAATTGCGGATTGACCAATGAGGGCTCGTGTTTTACGTCGAGACGGCGGCGTTAGCGTGAAAATCACCCGAACCTTTTGTTTACATCCGGTCTATCTCTTATCTGAATATACTGTAGTGGTGGTTGACGATCGCACTAGTTCAATCGTAAGACTCATGATTGAACTATAAAAACTAGTTCATGATTCATTGAAAAACAGGTTCACTCGTTCAGTACGAATGACTGCTATTACAGGATCCCGATGATCCAGTCGAACAAAGAAACAACAATTCGATGTATTTCTAAGCGGTGACCCATCCAAATACTAACCGCATTCAACGCTGCTCAACTCCGATGGTCGGCGTGGGTATTAAAACTGACATTTCATCGTTTTTTGACATTTCTTGTTTTTTTGTGATATAACGTAGCTTTTCTGTTGTACACTTGCTGTGAGCTCGTTTTGTAGTTGTACCTGTTGCTTAAACGTCAGCGAATAGCCATCATTTTCGAGCAAACGTGGAATGAACTATTTGCACACTAAAAACCTAGTCTGCAAGATGACATTTCGACGGTTTATTTTCTGGCGTTTTTTATGTTTTTTACATAAAATTTGTGCCGATGAAGGGTTGCGACGCGGCGCTTTCATCGCCATTATTCCTGAGTAAAATAGTTCGTTCGGGAACTAGTTCGTTTTAGTGAGCGTGATCTACTGAGCTAGTTCACCGAAATAAAATAGAAAGCACATTATTACTAATATCCTAATCTAAGTACTGCCTTATGCACTGAGAACCCAACTGGTCTGACGGCTCAAGGTCAATGTGTACGAGAGAGAAGTGTGTATAGACACATATGTTAGAAAGAGATAGAAACCAGCTGAATGAAGAAGCTCATCACCGCGTTGCCTAGCTACGCTGACGCGTCAAACCGCAGCGTTGCCAATATAGATGCATGTTGAAAATATGCGTTGGTTGATTCTCTATGCCCAAATAATGGTTTCATTTTGGGAGTACACATTTTTGAATTCTGAATTGTGTATAATCTGTTTAGGAAATTCTGCAACGTATCATAGATGGATTTATGTGATATTTATACAGGGTGACTTTGAAGTTGAGTCATTAATTTTCAGATAATGATTGTAGAAGGAAGATAAACCAAAATATGTGTGTAAAAATTAAAAAAAAAATTAAAAAAAATGTTACCTTGTTTTATAAAATATCCTCCCGACAAGTATTTCAGTGCGGACCTGTATTTGATCGTGCGGTCTTGGAGCACATACCCTCCCGTGTGAGGACTTAAGTCACCTGATTCACGAGCCCTTTGTACTACATTAACAAAGGCACTAGGGGTTGGTTGCACTCGATTGGGAAACCGATCCGCATAAATCCGTGTTGCCGTAGCAGCATTTTGTAAAATCAGAATCATGTCCACAAGTTCAGCATTTTCGTAAACATGTGCCATTTTTTATTTCGTTTGAGCCACGCAGAAACACCACTCACGCGTTACCGACTGACATATCGAATGAATACAACTGAATAAAATAAATGAATAAAACATCGTGATAAGCGTTTCAAATTCTTTCGCTTTTTTGTTTCCGATTATATCCGTTGTTGCCAAACACAAGCACATATTATTATTGAGACAGGGCGGTACTCAAACTTCTAAACTTAATTTTACCACAAAAATGTTAAAGGAAAAAACATTTCTTTTGATCAGATCTACTCACTGTTAAAATAAATGACTCAACTTCGAAGTCACCCCTAATACTACTATTTAGTTGGTACAGTACTAGAATTTACGCATTTTATTCTATTTAAATATTTTTGATGTTAATTTATTTTTGTTAATGTTAAGGTAGAATATATGCTATAAGTTAATCTTGGCACGAAATAAAGATGATTTATTCTTATTATTATTGCATCATTGGTTCGCTTGGCAATGCCGCATCTCGCACATTAGAAGGCAAGGTTTCCACCTCCAAGATAATAGATCAGTCAGTACCCATATAGCGTTCATTTGGGGAGTGTCGTCCTGCTTTGAAATGGTTTTCACCTGGGTACATGCAGGTTGTGATAATTTGTATTGCATAATGGCATTTGTTACATTTTACCACCACTCGCTGTCGCAGAATGTACCAATAACTCCGGATATGTCGATTTTATCACCATCGGTAGAAATCAAAGATAATTGTAAGATAAATTAAAACGCTAAGTCGTATCAAAATCGAAATAAATAATTCTAATCAAAATAAAAACAAAATATTAAATTAAATGTTCGGACAGACCTCCTGCTTGGGTTTGACAGTAACCTTACCTATTGTATCAGCCTGTGCGAAAATTTTCTGGTGTAACATCTTCGCCACGGGGCAGATTGCATGAACGTCTACGTCGCAGTTGCTAGGCAATGAGGTGATGACCTTCGCTCTTCAGCCGGCTTCTATCTCTTTCTAACATGGGTTGATACACACTTCTCGCGCTTTTCTCTCGTATATATTGAACTCAAAAGCCTGTCAGACAAATTTTGTTTCCCTGTATATACTTGTCATGTGCAACCAACCACATCACTAATCAGATTATCGATGCCACTACAGTATATTCAGATAAGAGATAGACCGATATTTCAATAATTTTTTAATATAATCTTAAAATATGTCGAATATTATAAACTTAAAAAGGTTACTAAGTTTTATATTGTGTACCGTTCCTAATATTTCTAATCATTTTAATTCATACTTTAAGCATTATAAAGTTATAATTTGTTAATATTAATATTTGCGCGTATTTCAGGTTCCTGATCATTCATTTTTTAAAGGTTTATAACTTTAAATTAAATTGTGAAGCGCTGAGTAATCATACGACGTTCAATATTCTTTCTTTCAATATGATTAAATAATCCCAATTATGGCAATCTGATACGTCTCAATGTTTTTTCGCTGAATGTAATGAAAACATTTGAAAAAGGTTCGCTTATTGAAATAAATCTACACCAGTTAGTACTTCGATTTCCAGGTAAAGGGAAAAGGCTCATTATCTGCCATATTGGAGTGAGGATGGATTTGTTGTTGACGGTCTGTGGTGCTTTGAGTCTAAGAAAACTGGAGATTACCACGAGGAAATGAATGGCGAATCGTTTAAACAGTGGTTTTCAAAAATTTTACCGAACTTAGAGGAAAACGCAGTAATTGTGTTGGATAATGCGCCTTATCATTCTCGAAGAATGGAGAAGGTCCCAACAACGGGTTCAAGGAAAGTTGATGTTCAAAATTGGCTCCGCTCGAAAAATATCAACTTTGAAGAAGCAATGCTGAAAGTACAATTATTAAGAATTGTCAAGGATCACAAGGCGGAATATCAAAAATACGCCATTGACGAAATGGCAGCAAGTCAAAATAAAACTGTACTCCATTTACCTCCATACCATTGCGAGCTCAATCCCATTGAGCTCATATGGGCAGAGGTTAAAAATTATATAGCTAAGCACAATACAACTTTTAAATTTTGTGACCTCAAAGGACTTTTCAAAGAAGCACTAGAATTAATAACAGCGCAAAAATGGGAAAACTGTATTAAGCACGTGAAAGACAAAGTTGAAAAGAGAATGTGGGAACTGGACAATATTTTAGAGGAACAAGTCGAGCCATTCATTATTGACGTTGGTGCTTCAGGCAGTAGCGATGATGAAAGCTCATCAAGCTCATCTTTCCAATAAAAGATGTCGTTCATCAAATTCGGTAAGTTATAAGTAATTATAAAGCTACTGTATTTTTTAATTAATTATTGACATTTTTGAACCCATTTTGGCAAAACCTATTCAAGAATCTACTTTCTGACAATGTTCAACCATGCACATTTTTTTTACGTTTTGAACGTTTTAATTTGGTTACATATTTACCTAGAAATCAAAAAATATACTAATCAATATTCTAAAAGCAATTTTAGGGGATATACGAATATTTTTAATTTAGGCTAATTTAAACGCCATTTTGAGATTATATTCGACTGTATTTCACCAAACATCAGGCGGCATCCGAAGCTGGAAATCGAAGCGAAAATTTTGAAACCCTTATGTATATTTACATCATTATATATTTCTTACCCCACCCCCACATGATCCTATATCCATCACCAATCGTATACACATCGAATTGTGCTAATTTACTACAAAGTTACGCAAAGCAGCATCTACTATCTAAAATATGTACTGCGTGACTCTTAATACGTCCCTGCCGAATGTTACAGCATTCGATGATCACGTGGTCTTGTTTATGTCCGGTCTATCTCTTATCTGAATATACTGTACCTGTCCTAACGACGCGTCTGCATCACAAATAGGTTCACGTCAGTTTTGACCAACTAGAGCTTACATCAGGCTGTTTAGAATGGAGCTTGTCCTTGTTCGTTACATTCCTAGCTCCTAGCTATAACTAAGCTTTCATAAGCATCCAGGTTCCCTAACATTGCGGACTAGTTTTAAATTAGGTAGATCTATCTTATGTTCCCTATTGAATATACATACATTATGTTACGCTACTTGTCCTAAATCAGCAAACTATTCCTTGAATCCAGTCTCGATAAGTCTCTTAGTTTGGTCAATGTGAGACATATTACAACCACTACAGCTGATTTAATAAATTCCCCTTCTTTCAAATGAATCTACCTTGTCCTTGGTGTTTCCCAGTAAGGCACTGGAGTATTAAGCAGTCCTGAATCCCAAATCCTTAAAGACTGGTTCAATACCAGTTGTGTAATTAGGGTTGAAATGTATTGCTATTCTTTTTGGTCTCTCTCTCCCTCAACTTAAAAGGTTATGGAATCCCGAAGCGTTTTCTTAAAGGTATGTTCACTTATTAGTTTTTTCACAATGTCGGGATTGTAACCATTGACCCTATCCACTAGCTTCCCAAAACCGCCGAAGCCCACCTATAGGGAAGTCAGATGAGCTCTCTGACCTAAGACCGCAGTATTCTGCCTACCCTATCAAAACTCCTAGAACTCATCATGAAAGACCAAATGCTTACCTATGCTATTCAAAATAATATTATTACTAGCTTCCAGTCAGGTTTTCGTCCTCATCATAGCACCTCCACGGCTTTAATGAAGATTACGGATCATCTTATTTGAGCAACATCAAGGTAATTGCACTTGTCTTGTGTTACTCGACTTCAGAAAAGCTTTCGACACCTTAGACCACGACACGCTTCTCACAAAATTGATATACTTCGGTTTTTCTTATAACTCGGTTCTACTTCTTGAGAGCTACTTAAAAAATCGCACTCAGAGTACAGTTATAGATGATAATTACTCTTCCTCGTTGAATAAGGTTTTCGGTGTTCCACAAGGTTCGGTCTTGGGTCCACTCCTTTTCAGCTTATACACAAGTGACTTTCATGATTTTGTTAATTTTTCTCAGTTACATCATTATGCCGACGATACCCAGATATACAGGGTGACTTCCAAGTTGAGTCATTTATTTTAACAGTGAGTAGATCTGATCAAAAGAAATGTTTTTTTCCTTTACCATTTTTCTGATAAAATTAAAGTAACAAAGTTATAGCCCTTTGGAAGTTTGAGTACCGCCCTGTCTCAATAATAATATTATGTGCTAGTGTTTGGCAACAACGGATATAATCCGCCTTATCGGTTCATCGCATCGGAAACAAAAAAGCGAAAGAATTTGGAACGATGTTTTTACAATTATTTTATTCAGTTGTATACAGTCAGTGTCAGTCGGTAACGCGTGAGTGAATAGTGGTGTCTGTTGCGTGGCTCAAACAAAATAAAAAATGGCACATGTTTACGAAAATGCTGAACTTGTGGAAATGATTCTTATTTACGCGGCATCACGGATTTATGCGGATCGGTTTCCCAATCGAGTGCAACCAACCCCTCGTGCCTTTGTTAATGTAGTACAAAGAGCTCGTGAATCAGGTGACTTAAGACCTCACAGAGGAGGGCATGCCGGTGCTCCAAGACCGCACGATCAAATACAGATCCGCACTGAAATACTTGTCGGGAGGATACTTTATAAAACAAGGTAACATTTAATTTTTTTATTTTTACACACATATTTTGGTTTATCTTCCTTCTACAATCATTATCTGAAAATTAATGACTCAACTTCAAAGTTAGTATATATCGTTCTCCGCATCCAAAGCGGTTACTGCACAGATTGAACTGAATAAAGATTTAAAATCTCTATATAACATATCTATAGCACAAAATTTACAGCTAAATCCGAAGAAATCACAAGTCATGATTTTTGGCAATAAAAATAAAAGACCTAATCTGCATGGCACATTTTCAGTTACTATAAATGATGTATCTTTGCCAATAATCAGCGAATTCAAAATTCTTGCATCAGGTTTGCATACGGTATCCGAAAGTATGACCACATCAATGAGAGCCTTATGGATTCTGGTTGGCTTACCATGATTAACATAAGAAAACTTCATTTTCTCATATCAGTACACAAGATCGTTACTAGTGGAACACCTACTTATCTATACAATAAACTTACCAGACTGCCTGATAATAAAGTAACTCGCAATAAACATCTTTGGTTATTCCTAAACATTCAACAGCTCTGTTTAAGCGCAGGTTTTCATACAATGCTGCGAAACTGTATAACAGCTTGGCAGTAGATCTCAAGAATGTGAGCCTCCGCAATTTTAAAAAAAGATTGAAAGCTGATCTCCTGCACGACCAAGGGCCTAAAGTATAAGCAAACTTCGCTACGTTTTAAAGGATAATGTCCCAGTATGTTTCTTTTTAAGTCGCCTTGTTCTTTTTTGCATGAATTGT